GGGTAGTTACCCCACCCTCTCTAGCCTGTTTCCCCCCCGCAACATCCCCTTGGGCTCGCTATCGGCGTCGGAAATAAGAGGAAACAGTGGCGGACGGTTTATGGTGCAGAAATGCAGTGCTGCTGAGGTTAATAAAAAATACAAATTAATTCCATGATCTAACTAAAATACCCAAAATATATATACAGGGTGGGCCATTGGTGCGAGGAAGTCCAATATCGTCGTCGTTATCGAAGATATTCTAAAATATTTTGTTGTACAGAATGTCCCCGGATTGTCTTTACAACAGGAAAAAAACTTCTTTAATATTTACATTTTGAAAAAAATGCATTCTTTATAACAATTTTTGCCTATATAAAATGTATTCAATTTGATTCAATTTTTTTAATACAACACTCTGTATATTTTTTCTTTTAGAAAATACAGAATTAAAAAGTGCACATTTTTTTGTATTTAAAGTGTTTCTAAATTTTTAACGGGTTCGTAGATATTCACTGATGTTATCTATACTAATATATAAAATCTTTAAGTAACTGACTCACTGATAAATCATGATGCTGCTCAAACCACTCAGCATAAGAAGCTCAATTTTGGCATACAGGTTGATTCTAGGGTGGAGAGGTTCGACAAGAAGGGATTTTTCGAAATTCAAGTTCCAAGGGGGTGAAACCACCTCTCAAATATTACAATATTTTTTATTTAAAAAACGGTCAAGTTTCCGAAAAACTCTTAAACACGTATATTTTATTTTGTTTTTTTTACATATTTTAAGATTTTTTAAAAATGTATACAGGGTGGTTCGAAAAATCTTGTCATTAATTAATCACGATCCTGCTTAAAGCGCTTGACGTAAAAAGCTGATTTTTGGAAAACGGATTGACTTTAGGGTGTAGAGGTTCGATAAGAAGGGATTTTTCGAAACTCGAATTCTAAGGGGGTGAAATAAATATATATAAAATAGTCCCTCAAATATTAGAATATTTTTTATTTAAAAACCGGTGAGTCTTTCGGAAAAACTCTTAAACACGTATATTTTATTTTGCTGTTTTACATATTTTAAGATTTTTTAAATATTTATACAGGGTGTTTCATAAAATATGACCATTGAGTAATAACGATTCTGCTTAAAGTGCTTGACGTTTAAAGCTGATTTTTGGTAAACGGATTGACTGTGGGGTGTAGAGGTTCGATAAGGAGGGGTTTCTCGAATCTCAAATTCCAAGCGAGTGAAAACACCCTTCAAATATTACAATATTTGTTATTTAAAAAACGGTTAATCTTTCGGGAAAACGCTTGGACACGTGTAATTTATTTTGTTTTTTTACATATTTTGAAATTTTTTAAAAAATCACACAGGGTGTTCCAAAAAGTTGGGTAATTGGTTAACCACGATTCTGCTTAAACTGCTTGACATAAAAAGCTTATTTTTGCAAACGGATTTTTCGAAAGTCAAATTCCAACGAGATGAAACTACCCCTCAAATATTACCAAGTTATATAATAATATCGCTATATTGTTTTTTCTCATGCTGACATAAATGCGAGAAAATTTTATCCAGTTTGTATGTTAATGGAAATTCTTGCTTTGCTTTATCATCACCATTAGAAATGATTAATTCGACGCGAACGAAGTCGCAGGGGTACACGCTAGTATTACATATGGCTCTCTTCCAACAGTAAATTTTTATTAAAGCCCACCTAATATGATCTTTGTCTGATATTCTGTATGTAAACCATTGTACAATGTTTAATTCTTTCCAAATATCTCTAAAATTACACCAATATTTTTTTATTATCAAAACGCCATTTTATTGGACACAAAATTGCGAAACTTTGCCATAATTCCACCTCCATCATAACTCTTATGATTTTCGAGATGCCCTCGAATTTGGGACATCCTATACAGTTTGTTATAAGATAAATTAACCAAGAAGAGACAGTATTATTCACAATAAATAGGCTAGTTTTTGTTATTTATTTATTTATTTATTTTTTGGTAAAATTAGCAGAACAGTTTAAAATGTTTACCATGAACCGCCACTGAGTTGAAATGTGTGCGAATTAGGGGAACGCGGGGCAAGAGGGGACGTACAGATGCAATTTCGGAGATTAGAGCTGTTTGGCAGTGAGGGGAAGGGGGGTTAACGAGGACGTAATGGGTTGTTTGATTTTTGTTAGGCCTTCTCGAAATCCTAAATATAAATATTTGAGGGTGCCTGTCATAACAGTACGGCTTATTTTTGAAAGGGATATGTGTATTGTTTTACTTTGCAGAGGGCGCTAAGATTTTGCTGAAAAATATGGAACACGAAAATGGAAATTTAAAGCAAATATTACAAAATAATAGAGAAATGTTGTTATTCATGACATTTTTCGATTTGAAATAAATATTGTACAATATATCTTGTAGATTTTAAGGGTATATCTGGTATGTAACTATATATAGATCATACAAAATAAAATTTTAGTCAGGTGATTATGCTTAACCGGCACAGCGTTGCTGATTTTCTTTTACTTTACTTTTTCGTATCCGGATTATATTATAGTTTATTAACCCAGTAATGGGCTACGTTCAATGCTTCCCGTTTAGCCAGCCATAGGTCATCGGGGGTACATCTGTGGGGGCACGCAGGACATTGAAGAAGATGTTCCATGTCCTGAAAGGCGCCGCAGTCGCATTTGTCGTCATTTCTGTCCCGCAAACCCCATTTGATCAAATTGGATTTTACTGGGGCCACCCCAGTTCTGATTCGGTTGAGCATTCTCCAGGTTTTCCAGTCGCTAGAAACACCCATTCGGTGGGTCCTCTCTGTAAGGGGTAGTGGGAGGGAGGTTCATCCAGGGGGTGGCTTAGAAACGGCGTCTGGATTTAGAGTCTACCTGTGCCGCACTCTTGGCCAAAAGTTGAGTGACGAGCATCAAAGGTTTGTTTTAACTTCTCAGTATGTTCATGAGCTTTTCTGCGTAAATCGGGGCTTGTAAAACCTGCGGCCTTGTAGAGGTTTTCTAAGGGGGTGGGTTTCATACAACCTGTCACTATTCTGCATGTTTCATTCAGACTGATGTTCACCTTTTTTGCATGGACAGATCTACACCACACTGGGCAGGCATATTCTGCAGTTGAAAACACAGAGCTTGGAGCAGAAGTTCTGACCACGGTAAGTTTGGCTCCCATTTTACTATTGGTCAGCTTCCTTATAAGGGAATTTCGTGCTTCTACTTTTTTTGCGTTTTTTCGCAGTGATATTTGTAGATCAATGTTCTGTCCAGCACGACGCCAAGATGGGTAGGCTTATCTGTGTGTTCTAGTAATTCCTCCGTCCTATGTAACATTAAGTCTGCGGGTCGCCTGTCTCTCGAATTAAGGTGGAATGCACTCACTTTAGTTTTGGTGGGGTTGGGTTTTAAAGAATTCTTTTGTGTAATAGGTTGACATTGTTTTTAGGGCGCTTTCTAGTTTCTCCTCGATATCTTCGGAACCCTTGCCTTCAACTGTTATTGCTAGGTCATCTGCATATGCAAAGGTTCTAGTATTATCTGGAATAGGTTGGTCATTTGTATATATGTTGAAAAGAATTGGTGCCAGCACGCTCCCTTGTGCCAACCCATTCTTCTGGTTTCGCCATCGACTCTTTTTGCCCTCGAGCGTCACGAAAAACTGCCTGTTTTGGAGCAAGAATTCGAGTATCTTGACTAGGTGGTAATCTTTCAAGGTCTTATTGGCTTTATGCAGTAATATCTTGTGGTGTACCGTGTCATAGGCGGAACTTAGGTCGACTAGGGCCAGCCCTGTGATGTGTTTATTCTCAAAACCCTTCTCGATATGTTCTGTCAATGCGAGGATTTGACTGGTGCAGGACTTTCCAGGTCTGAATCCTGCCTGTTGCGGAATCAGCTTTGAATCGACGGTCTTCTCTATTCTGTAGAGGATTAAAAGTTTTAGGAGAGGAGTTTTGGAATTTGAAAGGTTTCGCGACATATGTTGAAAAGTTTAAGTATCCATTTTTTGGTTCCGGAACCGGAATTTTTGATCTGTTCCACACATATATCGTCAATCCCAGCGGCTATTCCATTCTTCATGGTATTTATACCATTGTTCAACTCTTTCATGGTAAATGATTTCTGAAAGTTGGTGTTTTCAGTTGGTATTAGGCGTTTGATTTTGTTTTTCTGGCGTTTGGAGTTGAATTTGCCATTTAGAAGGAGTTGGTTGGCCACTTGATTGGGTGTTACATTGGCAGGGGCCTTACTTAGTTTTGGGTCACCATCCAGTTTCTTGATTAGATTCCAAGCTATTTTACTACTATGAGACATGTCCATTCTATCCAGGGTTTCTATCCATTTCTTCTCACGTGCCTCGCTGAGAGCTGTCATTAAAGCTGTTCCGCAGGTGATGGTTTGATCGCTGAATGGATCTTCCGCAAACAATTGTTCGTACTGCTCCAGGGTGTCCCTTGAGGCATTCGAGAGCCCTGGAATGTAATGTTGTCTGCAGCCCCTATGAATATATCTCTTTTTTTTCTTTTTATTTTCTTTTAATCAAAATATTTTAGAAAACAAAAATGATTCGATTTGAAATAAATATTGTACAACATATCTTGTAAATTTTAAGGGTATATCTGGTATGTAACTATATATAGATCATACAAAATAAAATTTTAGTCAGGTGATTATGCTTAACCGGCACAGCGTTGCCGATTTTCTTTTAATCAAAATATTTTAGGAAACAAAAATGAATTAATTATAAACATATAAACAGTTATTACTTACATCAACTAAACTCACCTCCCTAATAGCACTTAGGGGACATAAAGGGCCATTACTACCTCTTTCCCGTTCAAAATACTCTAATAAGGTTGTGATGACATATTCGCAACGGCTGTTAAGCTGCTTCGGCATCTTGTACACTTCGTAGTAAAAGCGGCAGTTTGACAGGCTATTTGTTCGCACCCTGTAGATTACGAGGTTTATACAATTTTTGACGTTTTCTCTTTTTTGCAGTCTCTGCTACGCACTGCCGACCAACTGAAAATCAAAGGCCTCTGCGATTCGAACGAAGAAACAGCCAAAACGACTACCTCAACTTCATCGCCTCATTTCTCTTCCAAGCAGATCCAGGAATCTTCCAGGAAGGATTCCAGCACGATACGCAACAACAGACATCTTAATTTAGACGACAATAACTATCGGCAGTACAAATACAGGTAAATACCGTACGATCGAAAAAAAATGGCGTCAAAGACGGCTGGGGAATGACAATAGATTATAATTTTGACGAAGTCATGCCCTAGACGTCATTTTCTTGGTTTGTACTCTTCTTTATCTTTTAATGGCGCATACTGCCAGTTGGTCTGAAGAAAGTGGTCATTTATTTTTATATTGTTCTGAATTTATGTTTATATCGACAATAAAATATTATAAATTCATCTTTCGAAGTAGTATTTTTATCTCCTGTTACAGACGCTTAGAAAATCAAAATACGGTAACGGAAGAATCAAACTCCACAGACGGAAAAAACGAAGAAGATAGACACCAAGAGACGCCTAAAAGTACCAAGGATCCCAATAACGACAATGAGATGCCTATAGGTACTAATTAATAAGTTTTATTCTAAAATTCTTAATTTTTTAAAATCAAATTTATGTTATTGCGAAAACGAAATGTGAATTTACAATTTTTGTTAGAAATTTACCTTAAAAAATCCTTTTATTGACATGTAAAAAAATATTTGGATTGACATTTGTTTTTTAGGATATTTTTTTACATCGCAACCTATGAAATTCTCACAATTAAATAATAAATGAATTTAGTGGTTCATTTTATTATAAATATATAAAGATTTTCTAAATTTATTGTTAATCTAGTACCAGAGGATAAAAAAACGTCTAATGTACTTTGAAACGACAATCTCTCCCATATCGCCCTCTCTATTTGTCATTTATTAAAAACTGACGTTAAATTTTATCAGAAATTAATATCTAAATGGAAAAAAGTCATTAATATATTGATTTCTAATACTTTTAACTTTCTTCTGAATTAAATACTATTTTTTGACAATTTCGTCGTGAATGGTATATACAGATCGGCCTAGATCGAAGTTTTGTTTTGTTTGGTTGCGACTATACAGGGTTGTTCACCACATATGACACGGAATATTGTAGCTAAACAATTAGATTTTTACAAATTGTAAGTTTTGGGTTCGTTGAAGGACTATTAGAGCTACAATTTAAAAATATTTTTACAAGTTACAGAGTATCCCAAATAAATAAAAAATATCATAGTTGTATTTTTTTAAATGGAACACCCTGTATATTATTACATTTTTAGTTTCTACGATTAAAATAAAGGTAAATTTGATTAAGGTTTATTACACTTAAACCTTACCGTTTTTGAGATATTTTCAATTTTGTGAAATTGCAGTATAAATTATAAGGCTTCATTTCTGCGAGGGTTTCAAAGTTTTTAATACTCAATATTTACTGAAGTTTATTTATTGATCAGTTATTGTGTCGCAATAATAAAATTTACTACCTTATACAGAGTGTCTAAATATTTATTTTAAATAATTATTAGCTTTAAACGGCAATAACTTGTTTAATTTAAATAGAACACCCTGTATATTTTATGAGAATCAGATGCACAATTTAATTGTCTACCAAATTGTATTATACCATTTTTTACCCATCTCTTCAAGTTTCCGTAGAAAATGCATTTTCTTGTAATTTAGAACTCATTTATCAATATACCCATGGAATACTGACATTTTAGATTATTTTTAAAGATGTACCAAATTTTTAAAGAGAACAGATACTAATATTGTCAATAAGTTCGTTTATTTCATTAAAAAATAAAAAAAACTGTGTAAATATTTGTTAAAGAGGACCAATTAATATGATTCCAGTATTCAAACTACATTAATTGACTGTTTGCGTTGATTAATAATAATTGCTCCAAATACTAAAAAACTGAATTATTTATGTGTATTAGACAGTGTGGTAAAAAAAACTAATACCTTAAAAATGATATTTAATTTTTTGACAAATGCTTATTTATAACAACAGAGACGATCATTTTTATAACTTATTATTATATTGATTTCTGATTCAAATCCACATTTATTTAGAATAATTTATTAACGAACACAATTAAGTATGTAATTAATTAGTATTTGGGCGGAAATACTGGTGGTATATTTAATTAATGGTATACTCTTTTATAAAGATTTAAATAGTTTTCTTTTTCATACAAATGGGTTAGTAATATCATCGTTTTACTAAAAACGATAATATTACTAGCCTGTACATTTTGTATATTTGTTGTTTTAAAAACAATCTAAAATGTCAATATTCCATGGGTATATTTATAAATGAGGTCTAAATTATAAGAAAATGCATTTTCTACGAAAACTTGAAGGGATAGGTAAAAAGTGGAATAATACAATTTGATAGACAATTAAATTGTGCATCTAATTCTCATATATACAGGGTATTCCATTTAAATTAAACAAGTTATTGCCGTTTACAGGTAATAATTATTTAAAATAAATATTTAGACACTCTGTATAAGGTAGTATAATTTTTATTATTGCAACACAATAATTGATCAATAAATAAACTTCAGTAAATATTTAGTATTAAAAACTTTGATACCCTTGGAGAAATGAAGCCTTAAAATTTATACTGCAATTTTACAAAATTCAAAATATTTCAAAAACGCTAAGGTTTAAGTGTATTAAACCTTAATAAAATTTACTTTTATTTTAATCGTAGAAACTAAAAAAAATTTGAAAAATACAACTTTGATATTTTTTATTTATTTGGGACACTCTGTATCTTGTAAAAATATTTTTAAATTGTAGCTCTACAATTTGTAAAATCTAATCGTTTAGCTACACAATACTCCGTGTCGTATGTGGTGAACAACCCTGTATTTTTTAATTTATTTCTGAAAATTCATTTTTTACTGTTTTTATGAATTTGTATAATAATTAAATCTAAATTCTTGACCAAAAATGACGCTACAAAAGTTTTTACTTTCGCAATTCGCAACGATATGAATGGAACACTTATATTTATAACGATTTTCTTGAACTGCTTCCAGCCCTTGATGAAATCAGAAAAAGAGATCAACTACTGCAAGGCAGACTTGACTTCAGGCAAGTCTTTCTACCAAACATGAGCAGCAATGGTGTCATGGCAGGGCAGGTGAGTAGCACACTTTTCTTGTAATTTTTGAAAATACGTTTCTTGTTGATTTAAATAATGCATCCTTGGTCTGACAAGCTTTAAACATAAAATTCGCACATAAAGCAGGTGTACGACTTTGTGCTTTTCTCAACTATAGCCCTGCTGAAAAATGCGTACATATTAATCCCTTATTCCCTAATCTTTTTATTCCAAGACGAGGGGTCTTACTATTGTAGTTACATGTACAGGGTGTCCCATTTTAGTTGAAATCATACGGTATCTCCGTTATTAGTGAAGATAGAAGGGTGCGGTTTGCACAAACCTATCTCACTTTTTTGTCAAACGGAAGATGCCATAAACAAAATTTTCATAGCCTTCTTCGTTTCCGAGCTACAGGGTCTTTTTGAAAGTTTTGCTATTTGGGACACCTCCTGTATCTCTGTTATTGTTAAAGCTATCGAGAAGGTGAAAATTGTTTATTGTAGAACTTTTTACGTAGAATACAGTGGGGTAGTCTGTTTTTCTACCAAAAAAATATTTTTGAAAATATGAACTAAAGTTATGTTTTTTTTAAATGGAACACCCTGTATGTTTATAAATCATATGATCTGTCTTGCCATAAGCTTCTCAAAAATATATATCACTCTATATTTATTTTCACTATTTACTGCAATATTTAAAAGTTTTTATTAAAAGATCATATTTATTAGTAGGCCATGATTGATAATAAAAGAATCTAAAGAATTATTAAAAGTATACTGCTATCTGTCTTTTGTTTTATTTTGGGAGCCGCTAATAAATTCTTTATATATTAGGGAAACTTAAGTCTCTACCGCTATTTGTAAATCTTGGAATACGTGTATACGTAAGACTAATCTATCGTATCGGAAATTTTAGATATTCCTTTAGCTAATTTACGTCAAATATACTTTCAGCAAGATGGGGAACATTCCCCCACATAACTATGGAAATATTAGAATACTGTTAAATTATTATTTTTCAAATCAATGAATTGGAACCAATGAACACATATTGATAGCCTCCTCGATTCCCGGATTTCGTCGTTCTCGATTTCTGATTTTGAGGATTTTCGAAATACGAAATATATCGTGGGCACTACAACAATTTCGAACACCTGAAAAATGCTTTAATAATTCAAGATTTAGATATTTGCAAACCCATCCCGTTATAAAAAAAGAAAAATATATTCACAGTTTCAGTGGTAACAGTTATTTCGAAAGTAAAATATATCAATCCCAGATAAATTTTAATATGTGTATGACTATTTTAGTAAATACCATTTTGATTTTTTGTTATTTATCACGGCCTACTAATAAGAAAATGATATATTTTAAATATTGCAGTAAATAGTGAAAATAAATATAGAGTGATATATATTTTTGAGAAGCTCATAGCAAGACAGATCATATGATTTATAAATATACAGTGTGTTCCATTTGAAAAAACATAACTTTAGTTCATATTTTCAAAAATATTTTTTTGGTAGAAAAACAGACTACGCCACTGTATTCTACGTAAAAAGTTCTACAATAAGCAGTTTTCGCCTTCTCGATACCTTTAACAGTAACAGAGATACAGGAGGTGTCCCAAATTGCAAAATTTTCGAAAAGACCCTGTAGCTCAGAAATGAAGAAGGCTATGAAAATTTTGTTTGCAGCATCTTCCGTTTGACGAAAAAGTGGGACAGGTTTGTGCAAACCGCACCCTTCTGTCTTCACTAATAACGGTACCTATACCCTATGATTTCAACCAAAATGGGACACACTGTACATTTAACAATAAATACGGAAAATCAAATGCAATAAAATAATATAGAATATATAATATAATATAATAAACAATCAAATCATTTCCCCGGAAGATGGATTGGAAATGGTAGAGCATTATAATGGGCAGCGAGGTTCCTGGACATGTCGCCAAGGGGTGTGAGGGATGGGGGGGGGGGTGCATTACTTTACGTCATTTGTAGAAGTGAAATTAATACTCCTCAACATTTACAATAAAGAGTACAAAATGCATTCGGAAGTATAAGAAGAAAGTTTAAAGAGCTATAAATAAAATTGAACGAAAAAGAAATTTGGGCAATAGAGGGAGGGTGGTAACTCTTTCGAACATGTAGAGCATTAGAAACTAGTTTGTAGAAGTTGATTTATTTATAATAACTACGATTAATATTATGCATATTACTAGATCGCACACTGAGATGTTAAATTCACAATAAAGAAGGTAAAAATAATATCTTTATATTACTGACCTGGATATTATTTATTTGAATCTTCCAATTGGGTCGATTTTCCTTATTCAATGTTAATTAGCGCTGATCAATATTGTTTATATAGATTATATCAGATTAAATAATTTAAAAACCCCAACTTGAAATTATTCTAAATAATAATTAAATAGGTTTGTTGTTGTTAAGGCACCCAAAACAAAAAAAAGTATAAGTGTGGCATATCATTGTACTCAGGAGACCGAGTTCTTTCAAAACCTCAAATAAAAAATGCATTTATTATTAAAAAAAATAAAAATAAAATTTTTTTAAATATTTTTTTTTGAATGCATTTTTTTAATTTCACTCAAAATGAAATATTTGGGTCATAAATGACCTAAATACAAAATATTTTCGTGGTGTCTGTCGTCTGTCTGTCTGTCCGTCTGTAACACGATAACTCAAAAACTGCTGAACCGATTTTAACCAAATTTGGCACAAAAATACTGTGGCACCCGAGAATCTGGCCATTAGTTTTTGGTGAGGGTGGGGGGTTGGTAAGGGGGTATGGGAGGGGGTTAAAAATTTAAAAAAATCGTAACTCCAAAATTACAGTAGCTAGCGAAACGCGGTTTTCAAATTAAGATTAGGAATAATATTTGCAACAAAATTTGTAATAACATTAAAATCAGTCAAAGTCACGGTTTTCGAGATATTAACATATTTTAGTATGGGCGACTATACGTGCCTCCCGGCGCCAATTTTTTTTTGCCGATCCTAATAGCCTACCATACCTATTGGTATGGTCGGCTAAAAATGCAGGTCCGTATTTAAAAAATATAAGTTTGCCGCTGTATCTCACAAATTATCAGCTAATTTGAAAATCTAAAAATACTATTCAGATAGCCCTAATAAAGTGGCCATGAGAATGTGAAATTGTTTTTTTTATTTTCTAAAAAGTAACGACAGGAAAAAATAAAATTGAATTTCAAAAAATCTGTTTTTTTTTTTCAAAAAATCAGCAATCCTTGAAATTTTTAAAACTTTTTTGATGACATCTTGGTGAACATCTCAAAGCGCAACTTTGCCCCAGTTTAACCGTGTTCGTATCTATTACGGTTACCGAGATACCAATGCTCGTACCCCGAATTTGTAGCACCCTGTATATTCAAGCAAAAAGCAAAAGCATGAGAAATGGGAGATGAAAGGAAGTAGGAAGTAAATATGTAACTATCAAAAAATTAAAAATATGTTTATATTTACAAAATCTGTAATCATCTCTTCGCTGAACAGTTCAATATGAATATATTTGCGAGAACGCCTTCGAACGCAGCAGCCTCTTGGATCGAATCCAGGTATGTAGGTTGGAAGAAAAGTGAAAGAGGATAGCTCGAAAACAGGGCTGACAGTAATAAAGTCACCGGGTGACGTAACGCCGAACGAACGAACGGACGGTCGAAAGGAAAAAGAGAATGCGGAGGAAAAAACCGTACGGAATGCCTTCTTCCTCTTACAACTAACTTTTCCTTTCTTTCCGTTTTTCTTCTTCCACCGGCCAGTGGCGTGTCAACAGCAGCGGCGAAGCTTACATTCATGCGGGTGATGCATCTCATCCCGTCAAAATATTGTAATACTGTAGTATAACAACCCATGTCCGATCAACAAAGTTGAAGAGATAATATTTTGGCCAACTATATAACAAAACAATTTAAACGAAATAAAAGAACCTACGTTGTGTTAAAAATAATTTTTTATTATGAATTACCTCGGATACGCTCGACAGAAGCAATATTTTGGGAAACTTGAGTAGGATAGGCTATGTAAATCATGTAAATCAAACGCCAAATTTGTAACTCACAAGTGCATGGAACTCACAAGTAAAAGAGCACGGCAGACGAAACCCTGTTCACTATTCCAGAGAATCCAACCATGCTGTTCTGAACCCTAATTAAAGAGAAATAATAATAATACAAACACTGTTTTCATACCAAGGTTTGAGATTTAATACATTCATATCTGAAGAAGTTTTGTTAGTTAGCAGGTCCCCACCTGCAGGTACTGAAGTCCCTGGGATTCGAGAGGCTACTCAGCTAGAGTTGATATGTTTGAATAAGTTTTGCAAGTTGATTGTTTTAAGAAGTTGTGTTTTAAAAAGAATGGAAGGACTTAGTTCCCGGTTTCTCACAGAACCCATTCCGGAATGGAAGCTGTGACCGACATATAACAACATGCGACGGCGACGGATCGGTCAGCGCGATCGTAGCCCGATGCTAGGCGGGAGTGGAGAGTGCCAGCCGTATGTTACCTGTCCCGGACTGAAAGGACTAAGAGGAACTTGAAGAACTAATTAAAAGACTAATTCACGGCAATCTATTCAGTAGGCAGATCCGATCGAGATATGATACAAGGCGACGACGATGGATTCGGTTTTGTCTATTATTGCCACAGCCGGCGTAATTATCACAGAAAATTGTTGTGGATATTGTTTTTGATTTTTAGTTTGGTTTTTTGAATATTTGATGGGAATGTTTCACTTTAGGTCCCTAAAATTAAGAAATATCTTATAAAACAAAGTAGATATTCTGAATTTTTAGACAAAAACAAAAAGCATGAGATGAGGAAAAATGCAATTTTCGCAAAATGTTTGTATTATTTGCTCCAACTGATTTGTGATATAGTTTTTTAAACTCTGATTTGAGTTTCTTTTTTAATTTTTTTATCTGCAATAACGCGTGTAACGGCCAAATCGTCTCGTTATATTTCGTACATTAATTAAAATAAACCCTTGAACTTTCCCACCTTTAGAGCAGAGGTCAGCGAACTTTCCGGTCGCGATTACGTCTTCCGTTCACTGTTTTAGTCGATGGGTGATGCGGTTTCATAAACACATTTCGTTATTAAGTAAAAAATATCGTCGCGATGAACGATTCGATAGTAGAGAGTATGCGTTCTTCTCCTTAATTTGAAGACAGAACGTTCAGAGATAGAGACAGAACAGATACGTTCACAGTTTTGTTTTTTACCTAAATTTAGTTCTTTTTTAAATTGGTTTGATTATTTTTTTAATCTGTTTAAATTTAAACTTTTTTGTATATTTTATTTTTATAACTTCAAAATTAAAGACTTTAATAAAAAAAAACTTTATAGTGTTGGTAAAATGATAATTTCAGTTATTTACTACATCAAAGAAATTAAACCATATACAGGGTGGTCCGAACTGTATTCCGGAAACTTCGGCAGCATATTCTGCGGATAAAAATAAGTAAAAAAGTTCGTATAAATGTATGTCCTAAAATGCTTAGTTTCGGAGATACAGGGTGTAGAAGTTTCATTTTTATTTCGATTTTTTCCAAATAATTTCTGAAGTAAAGTCAATATTTGAATGAAAATTGGTGTCTGGGAGTTTTTCGACATGAGAAATTTGATTTTGATGTCAATATGGCTCCTACTAGTAGAGGGCGCCACCTACATATTTTTAACCGGTTTGAAGAGTAATAACTTTTTGTCCGTACCTGTATATAACTACTGAGTAAAGAAAAATACATTTACGACGTTTTTTACGTAAAAAAGGTCTCTTGGTAAAAATCGCTACAAGTAATGGTTTTCAAGATATTTGGAATCGAAATTATCAATACCTGTCATCATTGACATTAATTAAACATGCATGTTGACTAGATCGTTATTAGACTGAAATCATAAATTTGAAATATGTTTGTGCCAAAAATTCAACAGAAACTGTTTTATCATCATTTTTTGCAGAAAAATTTATGATTAATTTAAAAAAAAAATAAAAATTTCCCAAATTTATTATTTCAGTGAAATAACTATCTACTCAACGTGTTTATTTTTCGTCAGTAATGACATGTATTGACTATTTCCATTCTAAATATCTTGAGAACGGTTGCTCGTAGCGATTTTTACAAAGAGATGTTTTTTACGTAAAAAGTCACAGAGATGTATATTTTTTTGCTCGGTAGTTTTATACAGGTACGGACAAACAGTTATTACGCTTCAAAACAGTTAAAACACATGTAGGTGGCGCCCTCTACTAGTAGGAGTCATATTGACATCAAAATCAAATTTTTTCATGTCAAAAAACTCCCAGACACCAATTTTCATCCAAATATTGACGTTACTTCAGAAATTATTTAGAAAAAATTGAAATAAAAATGAAACTTCTTCACCCTGTATCTCTGAAATTAAGCATTTTAGGATCTACATTTATACAAACTTTTTTACATATTTTTATCTGCAGAATATGCTGCCGAAGTTTCCGGAATACAATTCGGTCCACCCTGTATATAATTTTTATGTGAATCCAATCAATGCCTTCCCTACTGCGTTTTTGAGGATTTTTTACCCCCTCCCGCCTAGTGTGATGTGCGATTTGTGTCGAACCCCAAGGGGGTGGGTCACTCCCAAGTTAGATTCGGCTTGACCCCTTTTGCGATTGCATATTAATAATTCATATTTTTGTTGTTTAATCCTAATATTTGTTCTATAAACCTACTAAAATGCTAACAGAATGAACGTATTTTCTGTCCATATTATTTGATGTTTAAAACTCTGTAAAGTATTATGCGATGATGCCCTTTTCTACAGTCGTTCTTTCCTGTTTTATCCATAAAAGTTTTGAGTCGTAAAATTTTTTATAGCTTTTCCTGAGTGAGGAAAACCGAGAAAGGGAGGTAGGTACAAAGAAGGACTGTAAAACGGGACTGAATGGGGAATCAAGGGTCAGTTTTATGGTACAACGTGTAACGAGCAACACGTGGTTAAGGAAACATTTTACTTTCGCTCTTTATTTAAAGAAAAATAAAATACCACTTTAGTATAACATAGTTTATTCTTCTTGAAATATAGGAATATTTTATTAGAGACACAAATTATACTATATCATACTTTTCTCATAATAGCTTGAACAACTTTATTGTTCTTAGACAAAAGACTCAAAAAGAACTGAAATTATTCCTCCTGGGTTTATTTTTTCATTTAGGTTTGTTTACTTTCCAGACTATATTTTCCACGTTCGATTCGGACGATTTTCCTCCTGAACCACCGGCTCCGTCTGCTGTACCAGTAGGTCACGTGGACATGACTGACCACACTACCATGCTGACCAATGCGCCCATACACAGGACAGATTTGTCAGACTCTACGGGCAAATACCATTTGGAAATCAAAGAAGAGCCTGATGTAAGAAAAACGTTAACTATACAGTATGTCTCCGGATTGTCTTTACAAGAAGAAAACCTTTTTTATTATTGACATTTTGAGAAAAATGCATTCTTCATAAAAAAATTGCCTGTTCTAAAATGGTTAATCTCGTTCATACTTTACCAAATATCCATACTGTTTTAGAAAAAAGTAAAAAAAAAACATGAATATACATATAGTTAAATTTCCTAAAAACCAATACGCGTTTTTATGGTAATATAATTTTGTTTTCGGCCCTGTTCTCAGAAGAATCCCTGAATAGTCAGCGCGTTTCTTATTGGTTGAAATGTGTAGAACCCAGACCAACAATCAGGTTTCTACGCATTTGAACCAATGAGAAACGTGCTGACTAGTTAGGGCTTCTTCTGAGAACAGACCTTTCATTCTTTGATAGATTTATTATTGACAGAATTTTAAGTCACGTCATATTTTTTTTCTGTTTTAAAATGTTAAAAAAGCACGAAATTTATTTAATTCAATGCTAACGGAAAGGGTGATAATAGTTATCGGAAAATGTGGTACTTTAAATCAAAAACATCAAAAAATATAACATTAATCAAAATTAATTATAACCATCTATCAAAGAATGAAATCGAAGTTATATTACCATGGAAACGCCTTTTAATTTTTCGGACTAAAAAACTACATTTTCGTGTTTTTTTTTAATTTCCTCCAAAATGGTATGGAAATTTGGAAAAGAAAAAAACGGGATTAACCGTTTTAAAACAAGCAAATTTTTTTATGAAGATTGTTTTTTTCTCAAAATGTCAATAATAAAAAAGTTTTTCCTCTTGTAAAGACAATCCGGCGACATACTGTAGAAAATATTATTTTTTAATTTTTACTAATTTGTAGAATATATTTTTTTATATTAAATATATATTTTTAATTTTCTAGGAAGTACTAGGAAGGACTAGTACTACCCCAAGAACGGTAAACTAATAGGATTGCTCATCCTCATAAGACGTACGTTCGCCTCTTCCCGCGCTTCAGCTGACAGTTGTGACGTCATTGTAGTCCTTGTCAAAGCCTTCGTGGCCTTGTCATGATAGTGTGTATTATTAGTTGCCTATGGTAAACTTATAAAAATAACAGCTGAGAAATTTTCAGTTAATTATTTTGTCAATTTTAAATGTGAAAAGGGTGTCTTTAAAGTTTTTAGAGCTAGTGTTGTGGATTGTGACAAAGTGCATACTAAGTACCCACGATTTTGTTTATTAATTATTTTAAAGCAAAATATGAAGTACTTTAAAACGAATGCTTGCAAAAGGTGATGCTGGGAACTGCTGTTCTTAAAAATGCATTATCCGAGTATTTAATACGATTTATACAGTTAATTTTCTATACTGCTTACATATAAGGTGTTTAAATAAATAAACTAAATAATGAACGTTTTACATTCTTCAACCAATAATGCACGTGTATTATTGGTTGCCGGAGAGGACTAATAACCATGACAAGGTCTGCAATGACGTCACAAAGCGAGTAGTTTTCGCATGCACCTGGCGGACATTTTTGGCTGAATGAGCAGTCCTATTAGGTTAACTGTTCTTGGTACTACCCTGTATACATCGATCAGTAAAATCAATAATGTAATTTTTCCTTTTTCTTTCCTAAAATTCAAACTTATACTTTTTATACTTACAATTGCTAATTTTCTTAGATAAAATTTGAAACATTGCGGTCGTTCGATCAGGATAGTCTCTTGGAAATGGACTCGCACATGAGCAGCGAACACTCAATCGGATCTCACGAAGATTTAGCTGAAATGCGCCACAGAACCATGATGCGTAGTGATTTTACCCAATTACGTAACAGATTACATAGCAGACTAGGTAGGTTCTATCTTATTAATGTCTAGTGTTTTTATTTTGCTAAGTAGGTCTATTAAACTAACCTAACAACGACAAAAATCATATATTTTATTTTCTTTCTTGATTTCTTTGCAGATATGAGTGACAGTAGCGAAAATGGCGACATCTCTAGCATAAAATCGGAAGGACACAGCGAAAGCTCGCACCAGAGTAGTCCAAGGCCTCATAGTGGGGGTGGCCCAAAAACGTGGACTCAGGAAGACATGGACATGGCACTGGACGCTTTGAAAAACCACAACATGAGTTTAACCAAAGTTAGTAGAGTTTTTCAACGTCATCATTTACAAATCTAATATACTGGGTGGTCCAATTCTTTGTAGCAGTAGCAAGTACATACATACTAGATGTTTTACGTTTTGGGGTGTATATTTATGTACTAAATGAAGGTCTTACTAATTTAATAATCGTATATTAAAGTGAAAGTAAATTAACAAAACTTATCAGCTTATAATTAGATAATAGACAAGGACAACAATATGTATGAATGACATCTGTCTAACAGGTCGTGGTTACAGGCACGTAAGACGGAACATTATAAAGTCCATATTCAAACACTAGGTACATTCTGCCATTACTCGCTGACGAGTATTTGACACACATCAGAAGATGGTCACGCAAGGCGTTTTCTTTCATGAGCTTTTCTGTGACTGAAAAGCCCGATACGTGATGTTGTTTGTCTACCGCACTCCTGACATTCAAAAATCTCATTGCTTTGTTGCCTCTTTACTTTTTGGTTGTCGCTGATAACTGAGTTTACAATTCTTCTCCATTGAGTTCTATTGTGAGCTGTTTCTTCCCACTCATTCTGCATGTTAATCCCCTTTAAGTTTTCGTGGAAAATATCCTTGTTCCTTTTGAGTTCACCCGGCCTCCTCTTACCGTCTACAAGCTCACCGTAAAGCAGAGATTTTGGTATGCGGTTTTCTTGCATTCTGCATACGTGACCAGCCCCTCTCGCAGTTAGCTTTTTCAAGGATCGATACGTTTGAGACATGATGGAACCATTTGATTCTTAAGAGTTGTCTAAGATGTCTCTGTTGTAATTGGTTTAATGCGTTCATGTGTCGGCGGTACGGCATCGGCACCCAGGTTTCGCTCCCATATAACATAGTGGGGATTATTATTGCTCGGTACACTGCAAGTTTCCTTTTTGTGCTCAAGTCATGATTGTAGAAAACCCTGTCTTTTAATTTCCAGAATGCTCTTGAGCCGCTGCTAATCCTTTGCTGAATTTCAGAGTCGATATTGGCCTTTTCCGAAATCAAACTGCCGAGATAATTGAATTCCGCTACATATTCCAATAGTTCTTCTCCGATTTTTATAGCATTGTTGTGATCTTCCGGGGGAGTGTACATGATTTTAGTTTTGTCGATGTTTAGCTTAAGGCCCAAAGCTTCGAATGCCCAGGTATTTCTTGTAATTGCTGTAACGTTTTTGCAACTAGAGCGCAGTCATCAGTAGCAAGTAACTGTGTAACGTACTACCACAAAAATAAACTTTAACACCCGGTATCAGTAATCTATTTTATTCCGTCAGCCTATATGCTTTGTCCTCTAGAATAAATTTCCAATTTCTCTTATTGGCTCAGGCTTCCGCTACATACGGCATTCCATCCACCACTCTTTGGCAACGGGCCCACAGACTAGGGATCGACACGCCTAAGAAAGAAGGTCCTACGAAGTCTTGGACGGAAGAGAACCTTAATAACGCCCTCGATGCGCTGAGAACCGGTACTATATCGGCCAACAAGGCTAGCAAGGCTTATGGGATTCCCAGCAGTACGCTGTACAAGATCGCTAGAAGGGAGGGGATACGATTGGCGGCTCCGTTTAATGCAGCGCCTACGGCTTGGACGCCAGAAGATTTAGAGAAAGCGCTAGAATCGATTAGAACAGGTATCTATCTATCTTACTGTTTTTACTGTTTTTTTTTCAGCTCCTAAAAGTTAAAATGGTTGAAGCAAGACTCGAGTATTTTGAACAAAATCAATACGCATTTTAAACACAGCTTTGGGAACATTTTAGACATTTTTAATTACACACTTCATTTTCCGAACATGATAGTTCAAAAGACGACACTGTGTCTTAAAAATGTTTCATGTCCAAATACACGAGTTGAGGTAGTGTCGACTCGCTCTCTATTCTGAGTCTTTAAGAGTCTATTACGTTGTACTGTTCGGATCGCTCTCAGGGGTCGGGTAAAGCGGGTGTGTGGCCGAAAGAAATATATATTATATTTCAGAAATCTGCCTAAGGCTTAGCCCGATCCTGTCGTGTTAAGCCACGCCCAAATTTCCAAACACACGTGCTTTAATTAAGGCTTGGTTAAGGTTTGCAGAGCTTCAGCATTTTCCATAAAACAGCGATCAATTTGTTACAAAACCATGTAAATTATATATCACTATAATCACAAAACTTCAATCTATTTTCGTATTGTAACGGAATTTTAAATTTTGTCTTTATTTTCAAGAAAATTTAGTCCAAACATAAGGAATATTTTGTTGATGTTTGACCATCAAAATCTTAAAAATAAAGAAGTTGTCTAAAAATGTGCTACAATAAGGATATAGTATAATCCTTTACCTTTGATTTTTTTCTTCATTTGTGTTAAAATACCTAGCCAGTTTTACATAAAGCGTTAAATGCCGAACGCTTATTTTCTTACTTTTTTGGACTAATGAAATGGACTCTTAATTGCTACTTGGATCCATATATCTGATTTAAAGGGCCTTCTTATACCAGAAATAGTGTAGTTTGTCCCCTTTTTATGTCTGCACCTAAGCCAATATCTCTGTCCCGCACCGGTTTGTGCAGGTCCTTGATAGGATATGGGAGCATAGTTAGAGAGCAAATAGAAAGTTTTACTTGTAGTCCAGAGCCTCGCCTGTCAAAAAATGTTTGTATTGCCTAAACGTCAAATTGGGTGATTACCACGATCACTGTGACATAAAGAGAAGACATGTGTCTAGCTATTTCAAAAACTAAATTGTTTGAAGGTATATATTATTGGCCGTATCTGTCATGGAATTGAGCGATTAAAAAATTATCATAAATAATTTTTTCATATGGAAACCCACTTTTTTTATTTCACTAGTAAAAAGGTTTTTTTAATCCGTTAGTTTTTGATTATACATGTTCCTATACCTAAAATAATTCCTTCTGAACATGGCTTCATTCAGTTCATCTGTGTTAAATGCCTATTGAGATTACAATTCCCTGTCAATAAGTGCACTATAGTTTTGACAGTTTTCCTGTTTTTGCTTATCCGGTTATTCTTGATTATTGGAATTCACTCAATAAAAATACTAGGTATTATATTAGATGCTAAACTCTGAATGAAAAAATGTTACGGTCAAACATATTATATTTCATATCCATAAATAATATTTCTGAAATATTGCTTCAAGGTATTGTTAACGAGTGTATTTATTTTTCTACTAGGCCAGACATCCGTCCAGAAAGCTTCCACAGAATTTGGAATACCCACTGGCACCCTTTATGGGAGGTGCAAAAGGGAAGGCATCGAATTATCTAGGTCTAATCCTACCCCTTGGTCAGAAGATTCAATGGGAGAAGCACTAGAAGCAGTAAGGTAAATTATACAAATAGCTAACTAGCCTTTATCAATAGTGCAATATGATCGAAAACAAAAAACGGCGTCAGCGATGACTATGAAATAAAGATCGCTGTCATTTTAATGTAAAATTATACTGTTCAATTTACGAAGTTTGAGTCTTTCGTCATCAATGACTAAATAATATAAGGACATGGAACGCCCCTATACGGGCTGCAACAGAATTTGTGACCTTAGAGACCTTTCTTTTGGTGGCAAACAATGAGTCATCATTTGGTCACCAGCGACAATTTTAGCGATTTTTAATAGTTTGTGTGTAGTAAACTTAGTATAAACTTTATTACAATGGTGATTAGTTATTCAGCTTTCAAGTGTAAAAGCAGCAGCGATAAGAAAGAGCCAGGAGTTACGTTTCATAGGTAAATAAACAGTCCACTCCAACTTTTTAGCGTTTTCTTATTGAATTCGATAATTATTCTTCAATTTCAATTAACATCTATATGTACTTGATATGTGCTATACGTCGATACTAGTTTTGTACCTTTTGTTAACATTTTAATACGTTTTTTTCGTAATTAATTAGGATGATACACCATAGGCGTAGTCAAAACAATTATCAAAAAATATAAATATTGCTTCAAACACCTAGGTTAAGAAAAATATGTGCTACGGCACTGTTTGGTGACATGGCCACAATTTGTCAATTTGCTCTCGGGTATTATTTGTCCTTGGTGTTATTTGTCCTTGGATTGTTTAGTCATTGTTCGTCGCATATTGTCATTCTCTCTCTTATCCATGTTTATCACATGAAATGGAAATTTTGTGTCAAAAACGTAAGTCCATTATATTTCTTACATCATAAGATTATTTTTTTCGTTTTGCATACGGATCACCTTCATTACGTATAAAGAATCGTACTTCCTTGTCTAATGTGCATGAATAGAAAAAGGCAAACATCATATTTATTGTATTACCCGCCGAAATCGAACAAAAGAATATCGCCGACTGTCAACGTTGTCGTTAAATTTTTACGACTCCGATAGTTTCCCATAAATTTTTGTGGGATTGTCTGTGTTTATTTGGTTATTTGTGATTTAATTTGTGTTTAAAATGCCGTCCCGTTTTAGTGAAAAAGAACAACGGCTCATATTAAAAGTTTCCTTATAGATATTACTATAAATCTGTTGTATTAGGTTAGGTCACATGTCTATAAATCAAGCAGCCATCCATTATAATTTGCCTTACTCCTCATTGTATGGAAGGTTCAAGCGAGGAATAAAGTATGACTCCGATAATATAGAGGTATGAAATGGATAATTTGTTTTGTTTTTATTATACAGGGTAGTCCGAACTGTACTTCTGAAACTTCGGCAGCATATTTTGCAGATAAAAATAAGTAAAAAAGTTCGTATAGTAAACGCCACGAATGTTTGGGAATGATTCATCGCTTGACGAAGTTAGAATCGACACGCGCGCCATGATTTTTACATTAAAAACGTAAATTTTTACCGCAGACGTAGGTTTTTAAAGACTCGGTCCTCCTACTTATTCTAAAATGTTAGCGTGATTGACAAAGACGATACTATATCGCGTTTCTTTGATTGATTCGTTTTTGTGCGTCAGTCCATTGGTGTGCTTGCAGTGCGACCAATGGGGCATTCCGGTTTATATTTATAACCAAATATATTATGTTTTGACAAGACTCGACTTGACAGTTAAAACAACAAATTACAACTGATTATGTATTGATTATTATATGACTTGAAACAACACGGCACTGGAATTAAGTTTTATGCAGTGGCGCATCTAGAGATTGAGTCTGGGAGGGGTAATGTGAATATTCAAAAAAGTACTAAATTTGAATTAAATTTTTGTTGGAAGGTATTGTAATTGTGGAAAAACTCTACTTGGATTGGTTTGGATATTCTGTTTTAACTTGTATTATTAACTTTTTTGTAACAATTTTATTTTATACCAAATTTCATCTTATTAATTAATTTTTTTCTGGGAGGGGTATTACTCCCATTACCCCTCCCGTATATGCGCCCCTGTGTAGGGCTTGTTTCTCTCTACAATTTCCTGTTTCACAATGTACCGTTTGTGTCCGGGAAGGGTTCATAGTTTCATAGTTGTCGATTTTCGAAAGAAATCAGTACATGTATATTATTTCGTATATTTTTCATTTTATTGATTTTATGGAAAGCACTGTTCATTAAAATGTTGTATCCTATGTTATAGGGCTTGTTTCTCTCTACAATTTCCAGTCTCACAGTGTACCGTTTGTGTCCGGGAAGGGTTCATAGTTTCATAGTTGTCGATTTTCGAAAGAAATAATTAAAATAAATTAATTTCTTTCTGGGAGGGGTAATTACCCCCATTACCCCTCCTGTATATGCGCCCCTGGTTTTATGTGCCCTTGAACAGATTAGTTCACATGGTAGCGACCGATGAATCACTCCCAAACATTCGTGGCGTTTACTATATGAATGTATGTTCTAAAATGCTTAGTTTCGGAGATACAGGGTGTATGCTTCATTTTTATTTCGATTTTTTCCAAATAATTTCCAAAGTATCGTCAACGTTTGGATGAAAATTAGTGTCTGGAAGTTCTTTAACATGAGAAATTTGATTTTGATGTCAATATGACTCCTATTTGTAGGGAGCGCCACCTACAATTATGTTTTAACTGTTTCGAAGAGTAATAACTTTTCGTTCGTACCCGTATAAAATTACTGAGTGAAAAAATCTACATTTCCGTGATCTTTCATGTAAAAAATGTCTCTTGGTAAAAATCACTACAAACAACCGTTCTCAAGATATTTAGAATGGAAATAGTCAATACATATCATTATTGACAAAAAATAAAGATGTTGAGTAGATAGTTATTTCACTGAAATTATAAATTTGGGAACTTTTTATTTTTTTAAATTAATCATACATTTTTCTTCGAAAAAATGATGATAAAACAGTTTCTGTTGAACTTTTGGCACAAAAACATTTCAAATTTTTGATTTCAGTCTAATAACTATCTAGTCAACATTTATAATTTATGTCAATGATGACAGGTATTGATAATTCGGATTCCAAATATCTGGAGAACCATTACTTGTAGAGATTTTTTAAAATACACCTTTTTTACGTAAAAAACATCGTGAATGTATATTTTTTTACTCAGTAGTTTTATACAGGTACGGACGAAAAGTTATTACTCTTCAAACTTCAAACCAGTTAAAAATATATATAGGTGGCGCCCCCTAGTAGGAGTCATATTGACATCAAAATCGAAATAAAAAGAAAACTACTACACCCTGTATCTCCGAAACTTAGCATTTTAGGACATACATTTATATGAACTTTTTTACTTATTTTTATCTGCACAATATGCTGCCGAAGTTTCCCGAATAAAGTTCGGACCACTACGTATATTTATACGTATAAAGGCGAGTTCAAACGACTCGTGTACTTGACAAACATTTATAATAATTGGTATACGGGGTATACACGATGCGTCGGGTACCTATACAGAATTTCTAAGTTATTTAATATTGAAGCTACACCGCATTCTCGCCCGACCCTGTATGCCAATAAAAAAATATTTGCCCAATAGACGAGTCGTCAAAGTCTGCCTTAACAATTTTAACAGCCTTTGATCTTCTAAAAAGTGGTACAGTAATATCACAGTCAAGGATTACATTTATTTCTATATACAGGGTGTCCCAGAAATAAGTGCAAGTATTGTAAGATCTCGACAAAAGAAACATATTTTCTATTTATCGTTTTGCAAATAAGTCCAAAATAACGGAGCTATTTTACTTTGAAAATTACAAAAAAAAATATTTTTTTGTAAAATTTTGAGAACCACTGGATCTTTTCTGGATTTTTTTTTCTTGTAAATTTAATCCAATACCTATGTTGCCATATTATCAAGAAATTATGTTTTTAAACTAAAAACTAAAAAAATTTCTAAAAAATTTTTCAAAAATTTCGAATTTTCAAAAAAAAATTTCGCGAGAAAAGTCGAGTAGTCCGAGGCGATTCAGTGCGTGTCCTCCTTAATGTTTAATATAAACAGGGTGAATCAAATCTAAATATTTATTTTTTCATAAAGTGACCAGATTGAGTCCACCAATGACAGGCGCGTCTATTTTACTTTGAAAATTACAAAAAAAAATATTTTTTTGTAAAATTTTGAGAACCACTGGATCTTTTCGGGATTTTTTTTCATGTAAATTTAATCTACTACCTATGTTGCCATATTATCACGAAATTATGTTTTTTAACTTAAAACTAAAAAAATTTCCAAATTTTTTTTCAAAAAATTCCAAATTTTTCTTTCGCAAAACAACCTCATAGGCGTTTTTCTGGGGCCGAAATACACTACCAGTTGAAATACTTGCACTTATTTCTGGGACACCCTGTATAAGAAAAAAACTTATTTTTTTAGATTTCTGTTTCAGTGGCCTTTCACACAAAAAGATTACTATAGTTAAAATTATATCTCCTATTTTTTTCCAAATTCTGAATTCATATCACTAATAATTTTATACGGAAATTAGAAAATATGGTTGCATTAATTTTTCATTATTGTTTATATGTTTTTTTTTAAATTTTTCTCATTAGGTTCATCAAGAAAACAGCCAAGCTCAAATGGACATCCACGGCTTCGGCAGCGTGGAATTCAACAACGGCCAACACCACCACATCCAATTCCACAACCAGCCCAACAGCTGAGACCCGATCCTGGATTTCGACTGTTTTTAGAACGAACCACACTTTCGGTTGCTTATCCTTTCATTGTTCGCCAAAAATGATTCGTTTTTGAAGAGGAAGCTCGGTATATATGAGTTAGGAGATTAAAGAAAATGAAAATTTTCAATCAAAATCCATTTATTTTGCCATGAGAAAAGTATAAATATCTATAATTTATTTGTGGATTTTTTTCATGGATAAATCTAATGCTTTTGGGCTGTTAAAGTAACTAAATACGTAAATTTTAGTGTATAAAGGTTCTAATTTATTGAAATATAAACGAATTATCGTTTTATTTTTCTACAGGGTGTTTCATAAGTAAATTAAAACACCTCTCTCGGTATAATACAGCTCTTATATTTTAATACAGCGAATCTTTATGAAAAAATAAAATTAAAATAAAAATTTGCGCGCTTCCGAACTTTTTTTCGCCTAACATCATGTCTTCTGTCATGTTTTTTTACTTAGCAATCACCCTGTATATCAATAAAACAAAACTTACCTACTTGTTTTTGATTACCATTATAACATGGAAACTCTCTCAAATATCTCTCAGGAAAACAAATCTATAAAACAGGACTAAATGATGTCAGAAACAAGACGAGATACTTTTTCAGTGCCCTGTACATAATGCCAAACGATTAATAAGGTTATATTATAGGAAAATAAATAAACTCTTACCAATTTCTTTTTTGTTGTTGCTTAAAAGAGTTAAAGAAATATATATTGCAGCATTGTGTACAGAATGATTTCAAAAGCCTTTTTAAAATGATACATACATTTATTGAAGTGCAATATTTATACAAATCACTTTTAGAGAGTGGGAAAATAAGAAAATAACTAGTGTACAGAGATAACAGTGTAAATTGTAGCCTAATTTACTGGATCAAATGCTTTAGAAAAAAAAATGGTAAAAATAAAATTAATGTTATTTTGGGGCTAAAATAAAATATCCTATACAGACCTAATAGTCATCGTAAATCAGTAGTCTGGATTTCTAAATGTGTAAGAATACGAATATCCTAATGAAAAAAATAAAATAGACAAAGAAAGCGTTTAGAACAGTATTCTATTAGCCAGCAAGGTTGACCATTATTATTATATCTCTATAGAAGACTAGTAGAATGAGAAGTCCTTTACGAAGAAAGAGGGAGAGAGAGAAAGCAATACTGCTTACATGGTAACATTGTTGCCAAATAATAAGGAAAATGCTACATTTCTTAACTAAAAAATGTCTATACCCATGTGGCGGATTCATCTCTCTAAAAAAATCCTATATGGTTATTTCACCACTGCAAGAAAATCTACAAAATAAAATAGTTATTTTCTTTTTGTAAACACTGCTTGTTGCTTTTGGATTAACGCGGCAGTGTTTACAAAAAATAACTATTTTATTTGTATACCCATATAAGATTTTTTTTTGAGAGATTTCTTAACTAGTTATAACATACAGGGTGGCGCACCTCATTCGCCTCGGTTGATTATAGGAAAACGGAAAGATGTAAAAACAAAATTTTTTATGGGTATATGTAGAAAGGCAATGTGGCATAATTTAAAATTATTTTGAAATGTACACGGTGTGTCAGAACTGAGATTCATACCAAAGTTATATTTTTTCTTATGGAACACCCGGTATTTTATTTCATTTTTGGATTCTTGTGCATAAAATACGGCATTTATTATAAGGGTTTAATACAGGGTTGGCATGATATATATTATGATATTTATAAAAAAATAAAACTCAACTCCTTTCTTAAATTTCTACGTTAAAAAAGTCAACATGTTTACGGCACAACGTATTTTTATTACTTTATGTGATTCCCCGAATTCGTTTCGGACTTGGCTTTTGTGAATCGGCGGTTTTTTTGTAAGTTTTTTTTAGTAAAGCCTATTTCTCTGGCTTCAAAGTCAGCACAAGAATTAACTCTGAAAAGTAACGTACAGGGTGTTGACAAACTTTTTTTATTATAGCATGCCATACTTCAATATCTTTAAATACCTCAAAAATCAAAGCTTTTAAACATATTAAACCCTTATAATAAATGCCTTATTTTATGTCCAAGAATCCAAAAATGAAACAAAATACCGGGTGTTCCATAAGAAAAAATATAACTTTGGTATGGATCCTAGTTCTGACACACCCTGTACATTTGAAAATAATTTCAAATTATGCACATTGCCTTCCTACATATAGCCATAAAAAAATTTGTTTCTACATCTTTCCGTTTTCGTATAATCAACCCAGGCGAATGAGGTGCGCCACCCTGTATAAGTTAGGGATATTTATGTTTGTCTTACTCGTTAAAAAACAGATTACCGATTTATATTGACCAATCCAGTATACATAAAATATACAGACAGATAAATATAGACCATACAAATACCTGGAAGGTTCAGAAGTCAATCAGTGTAAGTCAATCACCAATTGCAATGAGATAATGAGGTGTAAAAAACAGGATTTAAACGTCATTATCTCGATGGAATTGGTGACTGACTTATTGACTTCTGAACCTTTCATATATGTACTATATCTGTATCAATATTTTATGTATGTTCATATCTACTGCTGACTGTTTTGCAAAATACAGTGTGTACCAATATTTCTTGGACATACTACGTATTTTTTTAATCAAAATAAGTTAATTGTACAAATTCTAGCTTTATACAAAAGTGCTTCGTTTGTCCGTTAGAGGGCGTCAATCAAAATTAAACCCTAACGTTAATTAATTTAAAATTTATTAATTTTTTTAAGCTTTTTATGAAGCTTATTGTCAAATATAATTTGTGGTACTAACATAAAATTCCATATTTTCGCCAACTAGATTATTAGAGCATAATAGATTTTATGCGCCTCCATATATGGAGGCTATAACTTGAATCTTGAAAATATAACATCAAGCTATAGCTTGATGTGAAAAACAAAAACATTTTTCTGAAGTCAGCTTTGGAAAAATATTTTTTTTCCTCAAAAAGTATGCGCGGTGGGGTTTTTTATAAGAGACAAAAATGTAGTAAATACTAGAGGGATCATTATACAAAAAGAAAATTTGAAGAAAGGTTGAGTTGGAAAATATTTATACTAAACTTTATGTAGGGGTGGGGGTAGTTTTCGCCCTTCCCGTATTTTTTCTTGATTTTTATGAAAGTCGAATGTTAAAGCACTTAAGAAAACACAGACACCCAAAATCTCATTCAAATCAGAATAACAGTAGGTACTTAAATCAAATATCTGAAAAAATGTGTTTATTTCTTTAAGTTTGATGCCCTCTAACGGACAAACGAAGTACTTTTATATAGAGGTAAATTGTGTCAAATGAACTTATTTTGATTGAAAAAATACGCAGTAGTTCTGTCCACGGAATATTGGGACACCCTGTATAGTCTCCCTGTCTCTCTTTAAAGTTTCTAAAGCCTTTGGGAAAGATGAATAGATTTACTTTTAGCAAAAAATTACTGTTAAAGTTGCTTATTATTATTGCAAGGCAACAAATTACGTATATGGCTAAAAGGCTAACCAAAACACATCCATTTTCTGGTTGAAAATTACTTGTTTTGGCACATTATACATACAAGGTTACAAATTGCTTAAAATTTTAGAAAAAAGTAAGAGAAATTATTTCTATATTTGTAGTCAGTCCAGTCAGAGAAAGGACGTTTTCGACAGATAAAGCAATTTACCTGTGACTTAAAATGACAGATCACATTTCTCCAAAAAATCCTTTACGGGTATTTCGCCAATGCACATTTGCAATGCATATTTGTCAAAAATATTTTCTTACAGGAAATGGATGTACTCTATTACAATTTATAAAGTTTTTTATGTTTTTTTTTAATCAGTATAAATCCAGTTTCATTCGTTCTTAGGAAGATTACATAAAAAAATGAACGTTCTTCAAGTTTACCCTTGTCTATTTCAATTGATTGTTATTTGTTGGGTAATTTTTTGTTGTTAAGTTAATAATAGTGATATGTTGTTTAAGTTTGGCTTTGAACAAGGCCAGTTTTGATACCAACAGTTCAATATAATAATAAAGCCTATTTATTTTCTAAGAGTAAAGAAATAAAACAATAAAAAAGTATTTAAAATTATACGGTTTTGTTTTATTTCATGAAACGATTTCAGCTCTAAATTAGAAAGTCATTTTTTATAACGTACGATCGAAAAAAAACGGCGTCCAGTTGGCTTGGAAATGAACATCGATGACATTCCCCATATAATTTGAGAGCGATCTTCATTTCATAGCCGTCGCCGACGCCGTTTTTTTATTCGGTCATATGGTATAATAGGTATTTTACCATTGTGATCCTTTAACGATAAGTTCCATTAATTCCTATAGTAGAATTCATGAGCGTTTTTTAAGTTAAAGTTTGAAGTGTATATTTTTAACACATTTTGTTAAAGAACAACTAAAACTATTTGTATTGTATTTTTTTTAAATTTGTTCTATATCTTAGTCTAGAAACAAGAAATATTAAGGCATTATTGACCATATATTAAGATTTAATAGTCTGACACCAGGACTGGCCACAGAATTTTTTTGAATTCGGCTTGAAATCTGATCCAAATCATGCTGTAAATTCATAAAAGTCGCATCTCAATCTTCTAATAACATATACCTAGAATTTATCATTTTTGTTACTGTATTATAGATATTTTTGTAAGTATTATAAGAATTCATATGTGTCCTTTCTGTATAAATCAGTATAAGAGCGTTTTTAAGATTACATTTTACTTGGTGCAATGTTATATCGGTTTGTTTAAATTCACTATTTTCTAAAATTCAGTATATATGTATATAAAATATAATAAACTAAGGTAAATACACTTTTTCTTGAATACTGAGCGTTTTTGATATGAAGCTTTAGTTACTAAAAAAATCAACAATATATTTAACCGAATTTTAATGTGTTAGATTTTATTAAAATAGTTTTAAATTTAACTGAACATTTTAAAATATTAAACACGTCGCTTTATCAAAACATATTAATTTATTCTCTTCATATACGTATTACCTGATTTGGATGTAATTATTTATCATAGAAAACCTGTTTTTTTATTCCTTAAAATGCATTTTTGTTTCTTAAAATACAATTTTTTAATTTTTACTGGACTTTATTCACTATTGCTATACTTGTTTATTTTTATTGTTGTCTTTGTCTAATCATTAACCATAGATTACGATTTGGACTCTTCCTTTGATTATTTTTTTCAGGACTAAATGAGTTCAAGCCATGTGAAATTAAAGAAGAGAAAATATATATTGGATCTGTGGTTGCTCATGCTTAGTACCATAAATATAGAAAAGAAGAAGAATATTACTTTGACGCTGTGGTTATGGTTCTTTCAATACCTGAAATACAAAAAAGAAGAAGAACGCAGGTGGCGCCATTGTGGAAAAAGTGAAAAAAACTTGAACTAAAGTGTTTGCAAGGTTGCCAAGACATTAGCGAAATCCTGAAACTAATCTAAATCGATATATTGTAAGTCTAAAATGAATTGAACCCATATTGAACAGTTCGCAAAATGATAATAAATATAATAAACGTATAACACAAACTTTGTTTCAGTAGATAATTCATTTTTTAGGCTCTGGCTCAGGATTATTTGTGCAGCAAAAAATGGCCATTCTGTTTTACGTGTTCAATCTGACAATGTTGACAGTGCAACGACATTTTCCCTTGTTAGCAGCAACTGTTTGTGTCGCTAATAAAATTTTTCTAATTTTTCATAGAAAAAGTGAATTTTCTGTGCACTATTTGAGTTTATTCTGTTCCTTAAGGCCTGCTTAATCTCCTGAAAATGTAAGTACCCATTATGTTGCCTGTTTTCTACATATTTTTTCCCTTTCAAATATTGGAGTTACATCATCATTAAAAGCTTATATTTTTCCAATTTTCATAATTTTCTTTTTTAAAATCGAGTATATGGAAATATAGATACATTTCTTGATGTCTTTATTATACAATAAAGATAAAATTACTTAGAATATTGCTTGAAATTTAGAAATATTTTGTATTTTTTTTTTGGTAGAATTTAAAGGTGTTTTTTAAGTTATCCTAAAGATAGTTTTTTAGATGTTTGTTCGTACAGACAAGCATTTTCTACGTCTTTTAGAAAAAGTCAGTGTTAGTAAATATCCAAAAGTGATCCCCATTCACCACAATTACATAATATTTTCAGTTTAAAAGAAATGTTTTTCAGTTTTTACATTATACGCTGTCGTCATAATAATATGTTAATCAAATTTGCATTGTTTATGGTTTAATTATAATTTTCTTTATTAGGAGTGTTACTAATAATATATATGCACCCTTCCTGCAAAGACCACCTAAATGAAGAAACCTGGCTCACCGGCCCTTATATAATTCTGATGTCTTGCTATGATTCCAGTTTACGAGATTGGTTTTACATTATATCCAGTTAAAGGTAAGTTTATTTAATTATTTAAAAATAATTTTAATAAATTTATTAACTAAGGTACCCGGTGGCGTAGAGGTACAGGCTCTCGTCTACCAATCTCAAGGTAGTGGGTTCGAATCCCACACCCGGCATTTCATCAGCCGACTATTTTTATTAAAATAAAAATAGTTTGGGTACCTAAGTCGACTCAGCCTTAAATGAGTACTTGGGATTCACAATCCTGAGGTAATAATAGGCGGTTGAAGCTTAGAGTGCTAGCCACATTACCTTCCTTGTATACCGAACGGCTCTAGTATGGCAAGCTGTACCCTGCTACTCCCAAGGCGTCAAACGCTATATACGGGAGCTATTATTATTATTAATTTATTAACTAGTTATTAACAGACTAACCACATTTTAAGATATATTTAATACTAATATAAAACAAAAACAATTATTATAGCATGCATAATTCAAAAATGTCATATTATGTATTTCTTTTTTTCAGCTTTTGTACAATTAATCGATGTATGTACAGTTCCAGAGCAGTACATTTATACTTTTGATGAGTAATATCAAAAATACATCAGGACACCTGGACTTCAATTCAACCATCCTATTCCAGATGCCCTTAGGTTGATTAAAATCAACATTCAACAGTGGAATGAGTATTCAACAGTGGAAATTCGCTATCAAAGAGGAACTAAATAATTTGTATATTTAGGTAAATTGCACTAAAACATTTTTTAAATCAAACATGTTTAATAAATTTCTAACATTATTGTATTTTTTAAATTACATAGATATAAATTATAATGAAATAACACTATTTTTTACAGATTTTCCACAACAAGTCGATGGATGCATGCAGTTCCAGGGCAGTACATTTATCCTTTTGATGATGTTCCTTCTATTCACCAACGAATTTCATCATTTTTAAATTTAATTAAGTAAGAAAAAAGATTCAAATGAGTCTCTGAGTTATATTTTAATAGTTTCTTATGATCATTGACAATTTCATTTGGGTTTTGGTCACTTCTCTTACTTTTTGGTAGAATACCATCTAATTGAATACCATCTCATCGTAATTTTGGAATCATTTTCAATCACTTTTTTCAAATAATCAGATCATACAGAGTAAAACTTAATTATTCTTAAATCTAATTTGTTATTTGTCTTTTGTGGTTGTACTTATAATTCTCTTTTATTTATATTATTGTTTATATTACTGCTATTCCCTCTAAGGCTTCAAAGTCTTTAGTTTCATTTATATTGATGCCTTCATAGAATTGTACAGTTTTGGAATCATTTCTAATTGATTTTCTCTTCATTTTGTTTCTAAATCCATTAAAAATTGAGATTTTTTATGCGATATTGTACTGCAACAAGTATTTTTTGGAACAGCTGCACTCCAAACACCTTCTTCAAGATGCCATCAGGCTGATTAAATTCAGGATTTAACAGTGGAATGAGGATGAAATTCATCATTGAAGAGGAAACTAGTTAATTTTAGGTAAATTACACTAAAATATGTATTTTTAAGTTCGAATATGTTTAACAGATACTCAATAATTATTGTCTTTTGTAAAATATCTAGCTACAAAAATGTTTAATTTTAAATAAAATATTTTGGCGCACAATTTACTTTAATTTTATGCAACTATAAATACACTATTTACATAATTTTTGTTTCAGGCAACCAGAAATACCTAAACGTGTACATAGAGTTGCCTATAGTTAAAATTTTTAATTTAAATTTTAACTGTTTTTTAATTATTTTAACCCTTGATTAGGTTTTAACTAAAATATTTCTTAATTACCAATACGGTTAACTTAACCATGTTTTCTTTCTTTGCTTTTCTTGTTAAGTTAAAAGTTATACCGTATGATCCAAAGGTATGATAGAAAATACTGCGTTCAGTTGGCTTGGAAATGATGATAGATGACATTCCCCATATAATTTTTACATAGAAAATGACAGCAATCTTCATTTCATAAGCATCGCTGACGCCGTTTTTTTTTTGATCATATTGTAGAAGTAAAGGTAGTAAATAGTTTTTAATCAAGTTTGTTAGTGAACAATCAATTAATGTTAATTATTTCTTTATTTTTTCTTACAGAACCAAGACTTTCCACAAGGGTAGCCGGAAGATTTATTTATTACCTCAACATAGACATCAGCATCTCCATCAAGACCTTGGATTAAAATCCAAGGTTTTGCTATGTGTATTAAGATATATATTTTATATTAATATTGTTAATACAAACTAATATGTTAATAAAGAGCTGTTAAAAATAGATGAGTTTTATTCAACAAATATATTCGAAATACCGTCTAATCATGAACAGACAGAAAGTCATTTAATTATCAAAGAAAATAATGTATTATAATACCAAAAAACGTAATAAGTTCAGGAATAGGCAGTATTTTATATAAAAATAATACCTACTTTTACCTCCTCACTCTTATGCACTCCTAATACAAATCCCTCATATTTCAACATAGCAAAAATTGCATGAAAATTTTAAAGTAAAATATACCTCTTCGCTCTTATGTACTCCTGATACAAATCCAAGAAAATTCAGCTTTTAATAAAAATTGAACGAACATTTTTAATCCTTGTCCAAAATGATTTCTATCAGGAACATGTAAGTGTGAAGAGATAGTATTTACCTAGTAGCTCTCATGTACTCCTGATACAAGTCTGAGAAAATTCACTTTTTGACAAAGACTGCACGAAAATTTTTAAAACTGCTCAAAAACCGCCGATTTCTGTCAGGATAGCATAAGCGTGAAGAGGTATGAAGCAAATTTAGTAGCACACGTAAATATAGCATTAATAAGCGATATTTCTGCTATCTCTAGCAATTCGACCTCGTTGGAAAACTTCAACCCTTAATATCTCGGAAACTATAAAGGTTAGAGGGGAACGGAACAGCGCATTCGATAAGCATTTCAACCCTCTATAAGGGCGCAAAACAAGGGCGCGATTGGAGACAAAAAAAATTTTTGGCGAAAAATGAGGTAAGGGGTTAACCTTCTTTCATTTTAGCCGAGAAATTTTTTTTTGCTGCGATCATCCCCTAAATTTGCGCCCTTATAGAGAATTGAATTCCCTATCGATTGCCGTCTTCCGTTCCTCGATATCTCTTTTAGTTTAGAAGTTATGGCCGTTTTTTCAAAAAAATCTAACTATTCTAACTCGTTGGTCGGGTACTCCAAAATTTCTTAGGCTGAAATTATTTTGGACAGCTTTTGTTCAAATTGAGAAATCTTGAATTTTTATCAGGAACATATGAGAGCGAGGAGGTATTTTTCGATGCCAGGAGTAAGCAGTTACATTCACCATATTTTGTCAAAAGATTTAAATATCAGATAGATATAGAAAATTTTGGATTTTTATCAGGAACACAAGAGAGAGGAGGTATATTTCGATACCAGGAGTTCAGCAGTTACATCTAAATATCTGACCCTCTCTTTCCTTGTTTAAGATCTGACCATTGAATTTTGATCAGGAATATATATTATAGAATACTCTCTATTCCAGAACAAGTTGTTAAGTTGTTTAGTATTATAATATATTATTTGTGATAATTAAATGTGGCCATTTTCTATTTGTTCACGAATAGACAGTATAATATATTTTAGTCCAATAAAGCTCATTTATTATTAATTGTTATTTATTGACATATTATATGTGTTATAACTAACAGTAATATAAAAAGTATATAAAAATCCAATTGTTGATGGACATGCTAAGTTAAGGTAAACAAATCTTCTGGTTAACCTACTTGATTCTGTAAAAAAATATAAAGAAATTATTAATTAATTGTTCACTAACAAGCACCATTAAAAATTGTCACCTCTATAACTTAAATAACATTGGGTACATAAAATATGTATTATAAAATATATAGAAATCTTCGTAATATAAAAAACTTTTTTAATAAATTATACTATTGTAATACAAGGAAAAAAACATGGCTGTATTGGTAATTAAGAAATATTTTAATTATAATAATTAAAAAATGTTAAAAACCAAATTCAAAAAAATACTTTTATTATAGGCAACTCTATATGCAGTTTAGCGTATTTGTAGTTGCCTAAAATTAAAAATAATGTAAATTATTGACGTATTTTTAGTTGCATAACACTATAGTAAATTGAGCGCCAAATTATTTCATTTGAAATTAATCAATTATAACTACATATTTTACAAAATACCATATAACATTAGATATTTATTAGATATATTTTATTACAGAAAGCTTTTGGTATAATTTACCTAAAGTTATTCGTGATAAATTTCATCCTCATTCCTCTGTTGAATGTTGCATTAATCAACGTAACGGCATCTTGAAGAGGGTGGTTGAATTGAAGTGCAGCTGTCTCAAAAAATCTTTGTTCCAAAGCGGTACAATATCCCTTCTAAAACTGAGTTCAAAAACTCAGTTTTAGAAGGAATTAGAAACAGAATGAAAAGAAGCAATCAACTATTAGAATAAGAGTCCAAAACTAAACAATTCTATGTGGGCACCAAAAAAAAAACGGGATCAAAAACTTAGAAGTCTTAAGGAATAGAAAAAATACATTTAGAAGATTTAGATTACAATCAATATATAAGAAATACGTATAATAAATTATATTTAAGAAAATTTAAATTAAGTTTTACTCTGTATGGAATAATGATTGAAAAAAGTAACTTTATAAAAATAAAATGCTTTAGAGATGGCTCGACACAAAATGACACAATATAAATATTGATACAAGTAAATGATGACTGATAATTCAGAAATATATAATATAGTAGAAAATTTTGCAGAATGAAGATAACATGAGAGATATAAAAGAAATAGATGTAGGTAGTCATTGGAAAAAGTTGCACGAAAATTAGTGTGATAAAAAGTCACAGAAGATGAATGACAGTACCATATGGAAGAAAATATGGGAGATAAACAGTGAAACAGAGATTTTTTTATTGAAAAAATTGGCAGGAAAATAAATAAAAAAATATAAATCCATAGTTCATAGAAATGATGAAATATGTCTTAGAAGAGTCTCACAGCAATGATACAAAACATTTATACAAATATATATAAAAAAAATTTAGAGAAATAATCAGAAAATTTAGAGAATCAACCAATGGCAAGAGTTTATAGAATTGATCAATGACAGCTGAGCATTCCCATAATGGGAATTATGGTAATAGTATACAGGTAATAGTATCCATGAATGTATATTAGAAGATCCTCAGAAGAATGACAAAAAACATGTATAAAAATATATATATAAAAAACATAGAGAAATACAAATCAGGTCAATAAGAACTGGAAAATTGGCCAAGAAGTTATGCTGAGCCTCCTGTCAGAAATAACTGGTCAAAATTTGACATCAAGCACATAAAGAAAAATCCTCCAGAAAGCACATAAAGAAAAATCCTCCAGAGCATATAAGTTCGCCACCCTTCATCAGATTTAACCCTTGGGCGACGATTAAGCCTCGCCAGTCAGTTCCCATCCCAGCTAAGCAGCCTCGTCTCAGGTTACCCTCGTCACCCATCGAGCGGACATCCACCGGGACCCCCTACAGGCGGACCCCCCTCATCATCTTCAATGTGTCCGATATCCCGCCCCCTGCGCTTTGCAGACGTCACGGAATACGTACACGAAGAAGTCTCGTAGCTTGGGTGCCAGGTCGTATCCGGCCGAAGCCTCTAGCGTTAGAACACCTAGCTCGTAAACCAGAGGGTGGTGACTCCCTTGGGTACCTATGCATGCTACATAGGTCATCGATGGCCGAACATCAGGGTTAGGGGGTGACCCAAGTCTCCTCCTCTTAGGGGAGGCTAGTTATGATGCTCTGGAGTCGAAGTTACTCAGGAAAATTCATTGGAAAAAATGCTAGAAAGGCCAGAATGACATCCTGTGGGACGTTAGGTCTTACCAATAAATGGCGAATGCGCTAGGAATTGATGAGAAATTAGTCCTTATTTTTAAGTGTGTTATCGCTTAAACAAGCGATAGCAGATAATAATCTGTTTCTGTTAGTTCAATTTACCCTTGTTTGAATATAGTTTAAACAAACTATATTCAAACAAGGGTAAATTGAACTAACAGAAACAGACTCCATAAAATTATAGCAATTCAAAACTATAACTCTGTACAAGGAACTATACAAGCAAAATAGCATTAGAATAAATAATACAAATAAAAGAAGACTTATATAATACAGTCAATTGAATATTTTATAGAATTGGCAAATGTTACTATGTCTACAATGAAGAGCATATGAAAGTCAAGCTATGATAGAGAAATGAATGTAACCCATAAGCAACATGAAGTAAAATTCTAAATAGATGGTATATATTACCAGACAAATTAGTCCTATAGAAATACAGGCAATGGTATATTGTATAGAATTGATAAATGATGTTATTATTCCTACAATGGAGAACACATGGCAGTCAAGCTATTATAGAGAAATAAAAGTAAACCATGTACAACAAAAAGTAAAATTCTAAGTAGATGGTATTCTACCAAAAAGAAAGAGAAGTGACCAAAAAACAAAGCCTCTCAAAGTCAAAATGAAATTGCCAATGATAATAAGAAACCATTAAAATATAACTCAGAGACTCATTGGATTTTTTTTCTTACTTAATTAAATGTAAAAATGATGATATCCACTGATAAACAGAAGGAACATCATCAAAAGGATAAATGTATACTGCCCTGGAACTGTATGTATCCATCGATTTGTTGTGGAAAATCTGTAAAAAAAATAAATAGTGTTATATTTTATTATAATTTATACATACATATCTACATATTTTACAAAATACAATAATGTTAGAAATTTATTATAAACACATTTGATTTAAAAAATATTTTACTGTAATTTACCTAAAATTATTTAGTTCCTTTTCGATAGTGAATTTCCACTGTTGAATACTCATTCCACTGTTGAATGTTGAATTTAATCAACATAAGGGCATCTTGAATAGGATGGTTGAATTGAAGTACAAGTGCCATAATGTATTGTTGGTATTAGTCATCAAAAGCATAAATGTACGGCTCTGGAACTGTATACATACATCGATTTATTGTACAAAAGCTGAAAAAAAGAAATACATATTACAATTTTTTAATTACGCATGCTATAATAATAATTGTTTTTGTTTCATATTAGTATTAAATATATCTTAAAATGTGGTTAGTCTGTTAATAACTAGTTAATAGATCTATTAAAATTATTTTTAAATAATAAAATAAACTTACCTTTAACTGTATAATGTAAAACCAATCTCGTAAAATGGAATGATAGTCAGACATTATCAACGGGGTGACCCGAGTCTCTTCATTTAGGTGGTCTTTGTAGGATGGGTGCATGCGTACTAATAACACTCCTAAAAAAGAAAATTATAATTAGAGTATTATATTAAAACATATCAATACCACATAATATGACGACAGCGTATAATATTAAAACAAAAAAAACTTTTTTTTTTAAACTAAAAGTACTATCCTTGTTTATATAATTGTAGTGAATGGGGGCACCAACACGACTGACTATTCTAAAAGACGTAGAAAATACTCAATTGCATGTATGAACAAACACCTAAAAAATTATCTTTAGGAGTTAAAAACATCTTTAAACTCTACCAAAAAAAATGGCCAAAAAAAACACCAAATATTTCCAAGTATGAAGTAATATTCTAAGTAACTTCATTTTTATTGTACAATAGAGACATCAAGGAATCTATCTTATATTTCCATATACTCGATTTCGAGAACGAAAATTATGAAAATTGGAAAAATATATACAACGTTTAATGATGATGTAATTGCAATACTTCAAAGCGAAAAAATCTATAGAAAACAGGCAAATAAGGGGTACTTACATTTTCAGAAGATTAAGCAGGCCATAAGGAACAGAATAAATTCAAATAGTGCACAGAAAAATCACTTTTTCTATGAAAAAATCGGTAAAATTGTAAGAGCGACGTAAAGACCTGCTAACAACGGAAAATGTCGTCGCACTGTCAACAGTCAACATTGTCAGATTGAAACTGAATCCGTAAAACATATTTTATCCGTAAAACATTTGCTGCATAAATAATGCTGTGTCTAAAAGAAAACATATTATTTATACTACCGAAGTAACATTTGCATTATATTACCTTATTAGATTTATCATGATTCTGTAACGGTTCAATTAAATTTTATGGTGGGTTCATACAGCCAAATAAAATAAAATAAGAATAAAATAAAATAAAATAAGAAAGTTGGTTATATGGGATACCGTACATGCGTTCATACAGCCAAATAAAATAACAAATAAAATAAGAAGTCTTTATCTTTTAATTTCTTGTTTTATTTTATGTGAAAACGGCTTTGCGCACGCTTAATTCTAACCTACAAATATTTTCAGTTTGGATTTAATTTATTTTATAATTTCACATAAGTAAAATGTATAATATAGTAGGCAACGAATAAATAAATATACTATAAATAGTAAAATTACTATAAACAATCGATAGAATTTCACTAAATTTAAATTGCCCCCCGTATGGTTGAAAACAGCAAATTGATATTTGATTACTTATAGATTACCACCTATATACAAAATGACACGAAGACCTGGAATATGGCGCCCAACTTGATTAGACCTTTTGCGCATGTTGACGCTCATTCTCTATCCCTTCTATTTCTATGGTATGAACCCACCATTAGACTTTTTATTTTATGACTTTTTCTCACTTTTTTCACAATGGCGCCACCTGCATTCTTCTTCTTTTTGACATTTCAGGTCTTAAAAGAACAAAAGAACCGTAACCATAGATTAAAAATAATATTCTCCTTCTTTTATAAATTTATAATTCTAAACATGGGCAACCACAGATTCGACATCGATTTTCTCTTCTTTTCTCTTAATTGGCTTGAACTTACATAGCTCATCCAGCTAGTGTCCAGAAAAAAATATTCAAAAGGAGAGAATCCAAATTATAATCCCTGGTTAATTATTAGACAGAGACAACATCAAAAATAAACAAGTACAGCATCAGTAAATAAAAATATTTTTATTCAAAGCTCTGATTCAAAGTAAATAAATAATTTACTAGGGACGTCCAAGTCAAATATATTTCTAGCAAATGTTTCTCTATAAAATGACTCGTAAGAATAATATAATAAATATTTTCCCAATAATAGTTTTCAAAATAAATTCGGAAGTGCTAAAATTTCCAGCCATTTTTTAAGTTTCTCTATCGCCATCTCTTGATAGAGCAAAGAAGCCTATTACTGTAGCTTATTATTTTGCTATTATTTATCAAAAGCAAATATTATACGAAAATTTAATGTACACTTTTTTTATAATTAATATTTAATATTTACACAAAATATATTATTTTTAAAATTTATAGTTATTATTTAATTATAAAGGGTATTGGTTAAGAAAAATTCAGATTTAATATTTTCAAACGTTTATTAAGCGAATTTCAAAACGTTGCACAAACTTACTAAACAAAATCAAATCGCTTACAAACTAAAATCGAACTATAAAAACTACACGAGAAATAAGAATAATCAGTCTATTTTAATAACATCAAGACCTAATTTGAGTAAATTCTATATATTTTAGATTCTAAAAATATTAATTATTATTTTGACAAATAAAAATGATTTAAGATTCTTTTTTGCCTTCAATATGTTCAATCGGTATGGTCTTCTCCTGAGCAATCTCCTGACGTTTTCTCGGAGCTGTTACCGTCAAGACACCATCCTCACTCAAATTGGACACGACAGATTTCAAATCGTGTCCTTTGGGCAAGACAAACCTCCTCACAAAGTGTCTGGAAATAAACCCATGATCATCCTGCTTCTCCTCATGCTTGGCCTCGATTTCTATGGTGTTCGCGTCGCTCAATGTCCTAATTTTAATCTCTTCCGGCTTGAAAGCTTCTACGTCTATTTTAACTTGGAATTTGTCCCTGTCCTGGGTCACAGCAGCGTCTTCCTGGTCGGGATATTTCAGGAAATAGCGGGGCCTGTTGAAAAACGACGCCGGTCTGAAAAAATCCTCTTCCAGGGCTCGCATTTCGTTCTCCATGCGCCTGAAAGGGCGCATCATGTCCCTCAACATAATTGGCACTAGTCTCGACATTTTTACACTTTACTTCTCACGGAAATTTAACTTTCAAACCCGGAAAATGCCGGTTGCGATTTTATTTTCGCGTTTACTTGCGCTTCTCGACGTTCAAACGATAACTGACAGGAGGCGCTGCTCGAATTTGGCTTTTATACCACAGATGTTTGTTTAAGAACGTTCTCGAATTCATAGATTCTAGAAATTCTTAGAAAATTTCGAAAATAACGTTTTGTTTACTAATAACATGTCGTTTTTTAAACGTTTCAGAAAATTCTGGATAGATACGGATAAAATTAAACGTTGTACAGCTATTTTACAGCATTTTAAACGAAATTCTATTCTTCAAATTTGAATATTTCGATTCTGACGATTGTTCAGTGATTTGTACCTGTTAAGATTGAAAAACAATTGCGTATATAAAAATACCTGTTATATCAACCAAAATATTCTTAAATTATATTTATATATTGCTAGAAATAAAGTAAATATTCGTTTATAAAATGCTTTTTGGCTCAAATAAACCAAATTTACGTTGGCATTGCGTTGGCAACAGTTTTATAGACAGGAAACGGGATGGAATATGAAATATGACAAATAATGACAATTGACATTAAAGTTAGCGTCTTAAAAGTTTTATGGAAGCTTTTTGGTTTTAAAAGTATTTTCTGTGAGTTATTAGGATAACCAGAGAAAATTAACATTAATAATTAAATTAACAGAATTGTTTCACTCTTTTCGTGTTTAGATTACTACAGTTACTAGAGGTAAGTCCTATTTTTAATTCGGCATTTTCAATTTGAACCTCACACTATTTTGCAAACATTTCAGATGGATATTCGACCCAATAACACAATTTACATCAATAATCTTAATGAAAAAATTAAAAAAGAGGAATTGAAAAAGTCCTTGTACGCCATATTTTCACAATTCGGTCAGATAGTAGACATTGTAGCATTGAAAACTTTGAAGATGAGGGGACAAGCTTTCGTGATTTTTAAAGAAATCCAAAGCTCAACGAACGCTCTTAGATCGATGCAAGGGTTTCCGTTTTACGATAAACCAATGGTGAGTTCATCCATTCAGATTGATTCTGATTGATAAATTTGTTTTTTGTGCATTGCACCAGGCACATGTTTAACTTCTTTGCTTATAGCGAATTCAATACGCAAAATCAGATTCAGACTATATAGCAAAAATGAAGGGTACATTCCAAGAAAGGCCGAAGAAGATCCGACCACCTCCTAACAAAGACGAAGATGCACCCAGGAAGAAGAAGAAGAATAAGGTAATGTTTTTGAATGGAGACAATCTTAGGTCGGCTTATTTATTTTTGAAATTACAGGACCCTAATAGAATGCCTGGAGGTGCAAACGCTGAACAACCACCCAATCAAATTCTTTTCCTTACAAACCTGCCTGATGAGACTAGTGAAATGATGCTTTCCATGTTATTTAACCAGTAAGTACTGTTTATAGTTTTCTTGGGGTATTCTTCCGTTGAGGAACCTTTTGATTAATACACTTGTGGTTTCAGATTCCCTGGATTTAAAGAAGTACGTCTGGTACCGAATCGTCATGACATTGCCTTTGTTGAATTCGAAAATGAACTGCAATCAGCAGCTGCGAAAGATGCTCTGCAAAGTTTCAAAATAACACCTACCCATGCAATGAAAATATCGTTTGCTAAGAAATAAGTTATTTATAAGTTTTAATAAAATCTAAGACACACTTTAACCAGTCTTTTCTTCTAATATAATACTATAATTTTATCTTAAATCTATTAATTTTACAATAAAACATCTAAAATAGGTTGAGTTTATTATTAAACTAGTTAACAAATGTATAATTTATTTACCTAAGGAAATAATTACATATAGAATATATTTACAAAAAATATAAATAAGAAAAAAATTATATAATTTAATAAAATTTTCACAGAGTATTCCACCTTTTGCTTAGTTTTCTTACAACAGGAATCTGTGATAATCTTGACAATTTAGTATTCTTCCTAACAATATAAAATTAATATTTAGTCTAGAATATATAGTTTAAAATTCCAGAATTGGTCAATATCCAAATACAATTAATTTTTGGCCACACTACTTGTATAATAAATATACAGGGTGTTCCTTAATGACATATCAATATTTAAAGGGGCGGTTCTTGGGCCTATTTTAGGAAAAAAACTTAACTTAATTTTTGAGATATAGGGTGGTAAAGTTTTCTAAAAAAAAACATTGTTCATCTCGCCCCCTTAAATATTAGCATGTCATTAAGGAACACCCTGTATACAATAATAACAATGGTCTACGATTTTTTAATTATAACATTTATTAAGAGAAAGCTATATATGATATGTATGACCAATTTTTTATAATTTATGATATACAGTTTAGTCTAAATTAACTTTATTAAAAAATAAACTGTCCTGCAGTTTTTCCCCATAAGTTTTTCCTAAATGATGTTTGAGCATACACGATGTCGAAAGCAGGAAAAATATCGCGAGGAAACTATATATAGCTTTGTTTCTGATACCATACAGGGTAAAAAAAAACAATGGGAATGTTACATCCGCTAGATTTAAAAATTCGAGAATATCAAACAAGAACCATTTTAGTTCTTAATACATATTATATGATAAATATCTATTTCCTATGGTTAATATTTTTATAAGGTCATTTATAAGGTATACGAAAACTGAAAAAAACTAACTGGTTAGCAAAAATTGACAGCTTCGAATTATCTGAAAATTACATTAGCTATTTGTTCTGCCCATATCACAAATTATTCTCATAAAAATAGATAGCATAGAAGCTCAGATGCTGTTACACAACCCAGGGTATATTAATATTTACAACCATATGCCATATAGCAATAATTAGTATAACATCAAGTCATTAACTGAAAAACGAATTTCAGAGTATTTTTATATGACGTTATAAATCTCTTGAATCTCTTATTTGTCTATATAAATATAAATAGTAGGTACTTATATTATATACATACATACACTTGAAATAGGGTGTCTATGATATACCACGCGATAAAAAAAAACGGCGTCAGAGTTGGCTTGAAAATTAAGATCGCTGTCATCTTATATGTAAATTCTTAGCTAACTAGACGCCGTTTTTTTTAATCATAGGGCATTTTAGGAATGTTTTATTCAGTCTTTTTTTTCAGTTGCTTAATTTTTAAAAACTCTGCATAAAAAAGAAATAAAAAGGGCTGTTTTTTTATTTATTTATTTGAAATTATGTATCTCATTTTTATATTTTATGAAATAAAATAAATATCATTTCCAATATGTAGACACCCATATTTCATTTCTTAACTATTATTAGTTATTAACATAATCTAAAGCAGATTTAAATTTAGACTAAGAGATCTCAAATAATATTTTCAAAATCGTTTTAATAAAATAGTGTTTTCTATTGGAATAAATAATACATCTCTAAGTCATAAAGCACCGCCGTATGATCTAAAAAAAATACGTCAAGTTGGCTTATTGGAAGGAATAATAGCATACCCATATAATTTTACAAATTATTAAATACGAGAAACGCTTTTCACTAAAATTACATACACAAGACACTAAAAACTCTAACAATACTTAATATGATCGAAAAAAAATGGCGTCAGCGATGGCTATGAAATGCAGATTGCTGTCATTTTATATGTAAATTTATATGGGAAATATTGATCGTCAATTCCCAGCCAAGTGGACGCCGTTTTTTTCGATCATACGGTAGTATTGTTAATGTTTTATAATAGTGAATTGTCACTGACAAACAGGGACTCTGTGCATCACAGATAAGTTATTCTTGTACTAATACTGACCCTAGTATTAAGGTATCATACAGAAAACAGCTAACAAATTTAAAAACCAAATTTTTCCAACAAAAAACACTATTTTAGTATTATTCAACGACTACTATGAATAACCTGTATCCATTGAATCTCTATATCTATCCAGATAATTATTTTAACACAAAAAAATCAGTACACACCAAAAACCTTTTCTAAGCTTTTTTTTAGCTGATGACTAAATTCCTAAAATGCTTACTGACGAACTATGAAATTTGAGAAATGGTGATACTACTTTTACCTGTAGTATCACCCTTTAAAGTTTGGTACACTATATTTTTACACCCTGTATAGGCTAGGTACATTTCAGTTGATTTCAAAAAATTTCCTACCGTAGCGCTGTATACAGAAGAAATTTGAAATTTTCGCTATGCATTTCACGCCGTCCCGGTTACAGTTCATGTTGATCGCATTAAAATAATAATGAAATCGTGGCTTTCTCATAATATTTAAGTGTTTTAGTTTTTTGCTAGTGCCGTTAATGAAACTATAAAACACTCAGGTACGAGGATTGTGTGATGTAACGCTGTTTCGGGTAGTAATCCAGTAAAATTCTATCGCCGTATAGAGAGTGAAAACAAAAAAATTACGGGCAAGCTGATTCTTTCAGAGTTTGTCAGCGACTGTCTACTGAGTGTAAAATTAACGAAATCGAAAATTTTCCCCTTGCGGTTTTTGAGCAATAGGGATGGTTTTTTTAAAACTGTACTATAACAAAATAATTAGACGCAAATTGTACAGCTGGTTCCAAAAAAAAATGAATACGACTCTTTACACATTTTTTTCAAATATTTGGGCAGTGTATATTTTTTATGTGTCAAGTATTTTGACATGTTAATGTTATTGTGACATTCTATAAAACAACTTTGCTTTTGACAAAGTGGCAAATAAATTTTTCAGAACGTCAGTATGACATGAGAAGAGAAATGGGGGACTGGTATCATAGAATATACTGCCCGAAATAATAAAAATATGTTTTAAATCGTATTCAATTTTATTGGAACCAGCTGTACAAAGCTTTTTGTACCACTTAGGACCATACATATGACTAAAAATGCATATTTTCCTTAAAATTTTTCTTAAAACAAAAAAAATTAAAAAACCGATCAAATTGTTTTTTCTAATTTCAATACAGATTAGTCGTACTTGGTAAAAAATTTCGATTTTTTAAAACTCGTAAATTTGCGGTAAAAAAGATTCTTAGCCAAATTTTCACTCTCTTAGAAAACACCCTGTATACGAGAATTCGCTAAATATATTTTCGAAAACCACATAGCATCTTAATCACAATAGATGCATCTAAAACCTGGTCCAAACCGCATCCCAAAATCTTTTTTAGTTCAAGAGATATTCAACTTTAAATTTACCCTAAAGTTTTGCTTGTCCCGATAATTATGTCCGGCAGTTTATTTGACGAAATTGTCCACAAGTACTAGTTAAATGAATCCCCCGGGTTCCTAGCGTCGACTCATCGGCCCGGAATGAAGGGGTTTGACCTTTATCTAGATCGATTCGGTTACCCAGTAGTAATGTGTCAATCCCGCGGATCCCGCACGATAAATCCCGCAACTTCGATCCCGCGGAATCTCAGAGGGATCCCGCATTTGCGGGATTGCATTTCCTAAGTTAGACCTTCTGAAGATATGAAAATATTTACATTTTTATTTTTTTTAGAATTTTTACAAATTATATTTCCTAACACTTTGAGAATAATTATATAAAATCATTTTTTTATATCCCGCTATTTAAACCCGTGTATTTGTATATACCGATTGTTTTCGATATTCTCCGATGGTGGCAGCACCGGCGGAGAATACACTAAGCCTGTAACTCTCCTGGTAATGATAAATCTATCGTTTTCAAATGTCAAAAAAGGTTTTTTTGCGTATACCGATTGATTTCTGCAATTCTTTCTCATGACACCCACAATTCAAACCTAAACGCTTATCTATTTGTTCATCTAAAATCTGATATGATGATGCCTGCCCACCGGCACCTTCAGACAGTCTCTCAGCAAGCCGACACACTCGCCCAAGCATTCCAGACAGCCTCTCCTCAATTCCCCTAAATATTAATCGTCGTCTATCACCAACCCCGTCCTGCTCTGCTGAGCGTGCTGGTTCCGCTGCAGGATGCTCAGGCACTGGTTGAGGCAGTGCAGGCTGGCCGCCGAGGTGGCCTTGAGCAGCAAGAGGTTCGGGTCGATGAAGAACTTGCTACCGGCCGATTCGATCGATCTGCACAGAGCAGAGTCGGCCTGTTCGGTCTGGTGGAGTTGGGACCTTACGCAGCTCAGGGCATCTAAGACTGCGAGGTGTTCTTTGGGTTGGAGAGGTGGACTGTTGGCGATGATGGACTGAAATGGAAATTTAATGTTAGAATAGTATTTTTAGATTTAGAACTTAAGTCCAAGAAGAGCTCTCGGCTGTATCTCGGAAAGAATTAGCCGTAGGGCCTGTGGAAAAAATATTTGTAGGTAACTAAAGAGGCCATTACAAAATACTGGAAATTATTGTCAAGTCTGTAGAACGGCCGCCAGAGAGCGCAACTGCTATGGAAAATAAGAAAATGCAACTTTTACAAAATTCCTAGATAAATGCCTAGATAAAGGATGCCTAAATATCGTGGGGATATTTCTCATGTAAAAATAAGATTTATTTTTCATATCAACATAGGTCCGATTCTGCTTTGTTTCGTAGTTACAGGGTATTAAAGTCTTAGTATTTTTTCGATTTATTACAATTTTCTTCCAAGTTACTTCTTTAGCTTTTCGAATGAAATTTTGAGGTTAAAAGTTACTATAAATGCGAAATATTTTAAAGCTAAAAAATTCACCAGGGACGTGCATATGGGTCATCACTATAATATTTTTCTAAAAAAAGCATGTACGCCACTGACTTTTTTTCTCTTGTTAGCGAAATAGTATAAGCAGTTTAATGCCCATTAAAAGTTGTCTCTTGATATTTTTTTCGATTTCGGCCTCCTTGATGAGATAAACGCAATTTTATTAAAATGCCTTAATCCAAGTCTAATAGCAACCTTAAAAAAAATAATATCATTAACTTGCGAAAGTTTTAAATAAGCACTAATTGATTCCTCATCAAAAAATATTAAAAAAAGTTCTTATAAATGTGGGTATGAAAATACATAGTTTTAAAGTTACAGAGGATGTTAAAACTCTTCAAAATTAGGTTTTTTTGTAGTTATCTTAAATACCTATAATATATAATATTATATTTTTATTTGAAATTGCTGTAGGTTGGACTAATAGTAATAATAACTAATAGTAATAATATTTTATAATAAATTAGGTAAAATATATAATAATTTATTAAATTTATTTTTATTTTAATTTTATTAATTGTGATTAATAAAATTGCGTCTGTCTCATCAAGGAGGCCGAATTTGGCAAAAGATATCAAGAGATAACTTTTAATTGGCATTAAACGGCCTACACAATTTTGATATAAAAAGAAAAAAGTCAGTAGCGCATATGTTTTTTTTTTGAAAAAAAAATCCAGTGATAACCCATGTGCACGTCCCTGATGAATTTATCGACACTTTTTTAGCATTAAAATATGTAGCCCAGTAACTTTTACCCTCAAAATTTCATTGGAATCACTAAAAGTACTTGGAAGAAAATTATAATAAGTCGAAAGATTATTAAGAGTTTAACACCCTGTAGATACGAAACAAAGCAGAATCGGACCTATGTCGATATGAAAAATAAATCTTATTTTTACGTGAGGAATCTCCCCACGAGAGATGGCACATGTTTTTTGAAACACCCTGTATATTAATTAGCTGAATTATTTCGTATTCATTTCTTACTATTTAAAATATATAGTTAGTTTCGTATTCGTTTATTACTAGTTGTGCTGTAATAACTTTGTGAATATAAAATATTTCCGATTTCGATTTAATAGTAGGTTTTGTTAAAAAGTAGACTATAAATAACTAGCAAACTTATAATAATAACTAATTACCAATATATGCATTATTTTTTAAATGGAATTTTTTTATTACGTATCCAGCAGGATTACTATTGTGTTTTTTTTATCGAATTTATTGATCGATGTGGAAATCGCAAACATTTGCAATTGTTATTTCGATATGATTTTATCTAAAAATTTTATTCATATTGTCATAGAGTTATAAATATAGATCAATTGTTTTTTTCTTTCAGTATAAAAATAAATATATTGTTTATCCTCTTGAATCATAGTTCGTGATTTGAGTCAACATTTGTAACAACCTCAGTAATACACATAGACCCATATAAAAGATAGACTAACCAATATACAGCATGTCCCCGGATTGTCTTTTGACTTTTTTTTATTGACATTTTGAGAAAAATGCATTCTTCATAAATAATTCTTCATTTTAGCTTGTTCTAAAACTAAATCTCATTTATACTTTTCCAAATTTCCATACCGTTTTAGAGAAAATTAGGAAAAACATGAGAATATGGTTGAATTTTTGAAGTTCTAAAAATCAAAAAGTGTTTCTATGGTAATATAATTTCGTTTTCATTCTTTGATAGATTGTTGTTGATGGATTTGCGAACTTTTTTTTAATAAATAAAGGGCAACCTATTTTAGAATGTTTCTGTTTACTACTGGTTTGTATATGTTGGGTACATTCGTTGTGTGTCTATTTATATTATTTGTCTGTGAAGGTACAGGGTGGGTCAAATTCGACGCTTTTAAATGGAAACACCCTTTTCTATAGGAGATAGACAAAAACTAATATCGGTGTCTGGAGCTCAATTTTTGTCAAAAACATGATGGTGAAAACCGCATATCGATATCTGTTATCGTTTCGGAGTTACGGGGTGTTTTTCAAAAATATGCATTTTTAACAAATCACTGTAACTTTTTTGCTATGGAAAATTTTGTATTTTTATGAAAACATTTCCAAAGCACCTTTTTACGTAGAATTTAATGGTTTAAGTATAATTTTTTTAAATTAATAATTTAAGAATTATCGACAGAAAATTTGATTTTTATATGGGACACCCTGTATATTTTTAATTTATTGAAAAAAATTTAAAATTACCTTTCCAAAAATATAACACACTTGATATTTTGCTCGATTCCTCTTCGAGATATAGAGTATATAAAATTCGCCCGCTTTAAATAAGTAGGCTTTGAACGGCATCGGCTGTAATGCAAAAAATTCTAGCTGTGAGCACCAATTAAAAAGAAAATAATATTTGCTATGAGAGATGCAGAATTTTATAACAATTTAAAATATATTTAACCAACATCAACACATTTAAACTATATCTAATAACAATAAAAATAAATAGCAAATCAAGACATGAGATTTTGCTACAGGTGTTCGACATATCGACCTTATATCTGTTATGGACAGACGGGGCAGTTTTTGAACATTTCTCGCGGAATTCATTAACTCAGTGGGGGTGAAAGATACCCTTTCATAACTGCTAAGTATTTTTAATTCTTCTAGATTATACGGAAGAATAAGGAACCTTTATTCGCAAATATATCCATAGGATTAGATCCATGGGCTCTAAGTCAGGCGGCCACGACGGCCACCGGCTGGAATCTTGGTTAGCTATCCAATTATTCTTGAAATTGGCTGCAAAAATTTGCTAATAACTTCAGCGTTCAGAGGCGGTGCGTCGTCTTGCTGGAAAAATATGTTTTCGAGTTCCATTAAGGGCATATCATCAATAATGGGTCCAAAGCCTACTAATTAAAAGTGGCGAACTTTTAAAAATTCTGTATTTCGAAGGGGATTACAACAAAATATCAAGTGTGCTATATTTTTGGAAAGGTAACTTTAAATTCTCTTCGGTTAATTAAAAATATAGAGGGTGTCCCAAATAAAAAATCAATTTTTCTGTTGATAACTCTTAAATTATTAATGTTAAAAAAATTATACTTAAACCATTAAATTCTACGTAAAAAGGTGCTTTGGAAATGTTTTCTTAGAAATACAAAATTTTCCCTAACAAAAAAGTTACAGCAATTTGTTAAAAATGCACATTTTTGAAAAATACCCCGTAACTCCGAAACGGTAACAGATATTGATATGCGGTTTTCACCATCATATTTTTGATGAAAATTGAGCTCCAGACACCGATATTAGTTTTCGTCTATCTTCCATAGAAAAGGGTGTTTCCATTTAAAAGCGTCGAATTTGACCCACCCTGTACATACTAGATATTTTAAAAATATAGAACATTTTTTGAAAATCAAAAACTGACAGTAAACTTTTTCCTTATTGTATAAAATTATTTCTTACGTAAATTTTTTAAGCGATGATTTAATTAACTATTTTCGTAAATTTATATAAAACACCTTTATTCAAAATGATGTCATACGAGTAGGTAATCCTACTTCTTTGTTGTAAGACGACGATAATAAAATTTAATTATGTCTACTACATTATTAAGAGACTAAAAATCGATTAAAAATGACAAAATCTTTTTATCTCGGATGTTAAAGTAAATAATTATGAAATAAACTATTAAATAGGATCACTCTGCTTTTTATACTATGTGAAGATTTCAAGTAATTCGCGGTTAGCTGTCATATACCGGGTGTCCCGATATTCCGTGGCCTACGTATTTTTGGAATACTAGGTATTTTTGGAATCAATCAAAATAAAATAAACGGCCTACACAATTTCGATATCAAAAGAAAAAAGTCAGTGGCACACGGTTTTTTTAGCATTAAAATATGTAGTAACTTTTACCCTCAAAATTTCATTGGAATCACTAAAAGTGCTTTAAAGAAAATTATAATAAATCGAAAAAAAGATTATTAAGATTTTAAAACCCTGTAGCTACGATATAAAGCGGAATCGGACCTATGTTGATATGAAAAAAAAACCTTATTTTTACGTGAGGAATCTCCCCACGAAAGATGGCACATGGTTTTTTGAAACACCCTGTATATGCGCACTTCGATTGCAGAACTTTTTTAATCGTTAAGAGAAAAACATTGTACCGGAACAACCAATCTAAAGGACATGGTAATTTATAAATTGTTTTAATCGTTTACCATGAGCTAGGGTTACTAAATGAACTCTTGCGAACAAAAACAAACTTATTTTGTTGTTTGTAAATATCAACGGATTAAATGATTTCATTCTCATGTGTATTTAAACGGTTTTTCTAGGACATCACACCATACGTTCGAACTTTGTTTCCTTCGCTTGTATTTGGAGATAAATATTGTTATCGAACAAACACATAATTATTAGGGATGTCCAAAAATATCGATATACCAAAATATCGATAGTTCAATTTAAAACTAATAATAAGAAGAACGGTTCCAGACAAACAAATCTATGCCCAAAAAATATTTTTTCTCGAATTTTAAA